AGCTAACACCCAGCCAACACACTATACCGCCAGCTAACACCCAGCCAACACACTATACCGCCAGCTAACCCCCAGCCAACGCACTATACTGCCAGCTAACCCCCAGCCAACGCACTATACTGCCAGCTAACCCCCAGCCAACGCACTATACTGCCAGCTAGCCCCCAGCCAACGCACTATACTGCCAGCTAACCCCCAGCCAACGCACTATACCGCCAGCTAACACCCAGCCAACACACTATACCGCCAGCTATCCCCCAGCCAACGCACTATACTGCCAGCTAACCCCCAGCCAACGCACTATACTGCCAGCTAACCCCCAGCCAACGCACTATACTGCCAGCTAACCCCCAGCCAACGCACTATACTGCCAGCTAACCCCCAGCCAACGCACTATACCGCCAGCTAACCCCCAGCCAACACACTATACCGCCAGCTAACCCCCAGCCAACGCACTATACTGCCAGCTAACCCCCAGCCAACGCACTATACTGCCAGCTAACCCCCGGCCAACGCACTATACCGCCGGCGAACCCCCGGCCAGCGCGCTGTGCCGCCGGCGAACCCCCGGCCAGCGCGCTCTGCCGCCGGCGAACCCCCATGGCCAGCGCGCTGTGACTCCAGGTAACCGCCGGCCAACATACTATTATGGTCCTCACCATACAGATCATGCAATATATAATTTATATACATTATAACTTTATAGTGTTGCTAGTTTGTGGCATGTGTATTTTATATCCTCTGTCTCATTTCTTGCTTGTTTTATTATTCAGGCGACAGGACTGGGCGGGACAGCTGTATCCGGACATGATTCTGAGCAGGTTGAGAAGATGGAGCCTGTAAAAGACCGTGTTATTAAAATCAGTTTCAACGCAGATGTACACGCCAGCCTTCACTGGAATTTTAGGCCACAGCAAACTGAAGTCTATGTATGTTTATTATGTCATATAGGGTAACTAAATGTCAAAGCTAAATTACTGAATGCCATAATTGGATCCAATATGGCTGGAATATTCAGACTGTATTATATACTGCAATGTGATTAGATTTTATTATAACCAGACTTGTATTGTTCATGATTTTATTGTAAGCAGGCTCGGGATTATTTGGATGATCTAATCTGATAGATTGTATTGTATAGCATGAAATTACACTTTACAATAGATGTTACTGGCATGGTCTGTAGAGTTTGATGTGTACATGCGCATTGCTATGAGCCTGCAGCTCGTTTGTCTGGTGCTTTACAATTCCCTGGAGCTTGTAGTCACGCCTCAGCCATTCCTGGATCTTTACCCTTGAGCTGTTTTATGTTGATGTGACTTTGTGAATGCATTCTTTAGAGATCGAACATTTTTACCATTTTATGGAAACTTTGATATTTTTTATTTCTCATGTCAATGAATGTTTTTATTGAGGTTTTTTGAAAGAGGGATACAGTGACCAAAATGAACACAGATGCTCAAAAAGCATACAAGTGTAAATGAGCAGGTATAATAGGAGACTTTGTGTTTAATCCTACTAAGAGACCGGTGTCCAAGCCTCAGTACATTTGAGCTTTTTAGCTTATTGTGCCAGTTAGCAGATATAAGGACACACCCCACCCATCACTCCTGCCATAGATATAAGGACACTCGCCACCCAATCAGTCCTGCCATAGATATAAGGACACACCCCACCCAATCAGTCCTGCCATAGATATAAGGACACGTGCCACCCAATCAGTCCTGCCATAGATATACGGACACTCGCCACCCAATCAGTCCTGCCATAGATATACGGACACTCGCCACCCAATCAGTCCTGCCATAGATATAAGGACACTCGCCACCCAATCAGTCCTGCCATAGATATAAGGACACTCGCCACCCAATCAGTCCTGCCATAGATATACGGACACTCGCCACCCAATCAGTCCTGCCATAGATATAAGGACACTCGCCACCCAATCAGTCCTGCCATAGATATAAGGACACTCGCCACCCAATCAGTCCTGCCATAGATATAAGGACACTCGCCACCCATCAGTCCTGCCATAGATATACGGACCCTCGCCACCCAATCAGTCCTGCCACGTTTTTTCTTTAGAGATGTTTGTTTCTTAAATAATGCGTGCACATGACACTTTTCTTGTATCTCTCTCCCGTTTGACTCTTAGGTTGTTCCTGGTGAAACTGCGTTAGCATTTTATAGAGCAAAGAATTCCACAGATCAACCCGTGATAGGCATTTCAACTTATAATGTGATTCCCTATGAAGCTGGACAATATTTTAATAAAATTCAGGTACTGTACAGAGAGTATGCAGTGTAAAAAATAAATAACATTTTCTTGACTGAAGCATGATGAATATTGCAGTGATGAAACTTTAGTATCTAACTGTCCATCAGGCCCGGACTGGCCAACTGGCACACCGGGCAAATGCCCGGTGGGCCGCGGTGGCCGTGGGGCCGAGCCCGGCAGGGAGATCACAGGATCTCTCCTGCCGGTCTTTGCAGGGCCGGCGCTATCTGAACGCAGGCCCTGCAGTAGTCTACAGAGGGCCGGTGGGGAGATCAGAGATCTCCCTCACCGGCCCACATGCAGGATAGTGCGGCTGCCGGGGGAGAGAGGGAGGGAGCCAGCCAGGAGAGGGAACCCGGCGGAGCCTTAACTTACAGCTCCGCCAGGTTCCTCTCGCGAGATTTGGAGCGTTGCCATGGCAATGCTCCGGGTCTCGCGAGAGTGAACTGTAGCCCAGCAGGCTGGAGTTCACTCACCACTAGGACCACCAGGGATGGATGGCAGCCCCAGCAGGATCCCCCCTCCCAGGCACTGCACCCCTGACACTCACAGCACCCTCACTCACACACACTGCACCCCTGACACTCACAGCACCCTCACTCACACACACTGCACCCCTGACATTCACAGTACACACACACACTGCACCCCTGACATTCACAGCACACACTCACACACACACACTGCACCCCTGACACAGCACACACACTGCACCCCTGACACTCACAGCACCCTCACTCACACACACTGCACAACACACACACACACACACACTGCACCCCTGACACTCACAGCACCCTCACACGCACTGCACCCCTGACACTCACAGCACACACACTGCACGTCTGACCCTCACAGCACACACACACACTGCACGTCTGACACTCAGAGCACCCTCACACACACACACTGCACCCCTGACACTCACAGCACCCACACACACACTGCACGTCTGACACTCACAGCACACAAACACACTGCACCCCTGACACTCAAAGCACACACAAAATGCACCCCTAACACTCTCACAGCACCCTCACACACACTGCACCCCTGACACGCACAGCACACACACTGCACCCCTGACACTCACAGCACCATCACACACACACACTGCACCCCTGACTTACACACACACTGCACCCCTGACACACACATCACACACACTGCACCCCTGACACTCACACACTGCACGTCTGACACTCACAGCACACACAAAATGCACCCCTAACACTCACAGCACCCTCACACACACTGCACCCTTGACACGCACAGCACACACACTGCACCCCTGACATTCATAGCACCCTCACACACACACTGAACCCCTGACACTCACAGCTTCCTCACATGCATACACTGCACCCTCACACACAGCTTCATCACATGCACATAGCACCCTCATGCAAACACAGCACCCACCCACTCACACACAGCACACACACACTGCACCCATCACACACACAGCACCCTTACCCACATAGCACCCTCACGCAAACACAGCACCCATCACTCACACACACACTGCACCCCTCTCTCACACACACAGAGCACCCTCACACACACTGCGCAATATGCTTTCCTGGCATTTTTGTCTCCTGGTATCCCAACTATCGAGACACCAGAGACAAATTTCAAGCAAACACAGTGCAAGCATGTTATTAAATTTGCTTGCGCTGTGCAGAACAAATACAGGGTATTTTTCTCATGCCAGAGCTCTTCAGCAGAGCTCTGCGCATGGTCTACCCTGGAAGAGCATTGAACCAACATGCTCACTTTGTGATGGGGCGTGCTTGTCATTGGTGATGACAAAACACACCCTATCTGGCCCCGCCCCCTTTTTAGTGGGCCGCTGTAATTAAAAAATGCCCGGGCCGAATTTTCTTCCCAGTCCGGCCCTGCTGTCCATAACTTGAAAAGCGTTTATGGGTCTTCAGGGTCATATACAGAGTACTGCATTGTTACACGCAAGGGATTTCTAAAAATAGCCAAGTTGTGACTATGGCCAGGTTGGAGAATTTTTTTTCTAAACCAGCTATTTTACCCTAAATGTTGTACAAATTGATGTTTAGAATTCTGGAGAAATTATCAGGTTATTTACCAACGTAAGAATTTAAAGTCTAAGTTTTTTAGAGTAGCCAAACTAAAAGTGTATGTGACTTAGAGAATGTGTCTAGTTTGGCTATTTTGGTCTTAACGCCGAAAAGGGCTTTAAAGCCGTTGTGGCAGCATAGAACGCCGTAACGGCCTTCTATCCATGGAGGTCCGCGGTACTCACCTCTGCCGCGATCCTCTTCTGGAGGGCTGCCTGACAGCCCAGGCAGCCCTCCCCCTGCAAATCAGGCCCTGGGGACCATGTGGTCGCTCTCTGGTTTTGCATCTTTTCCTAAATTGTGTTCCAAGCAGGTGTATACTGCAAACACAGATTAAAAGGAATCCATGTTTAAAATGGAATTAGGCAAAAATGTGATTCTTTGTTAAACTAATTTGCATATACCCACCCAGAATCCTTTGCGTTTGTAACATCGCTGCAGTTATGGGATTTTTATGGGATTTCTGTGGGAAAAGCAAGTCTTATGGCTTGACTGGTGTGCAGATTTTTGTATTAATTATATATATATATATATATATATATATATATAATTACATAAAAGATTACATTAGTATACACGTAGAATTTAAATACCTATAAATGCATATATATTAAAATTCTACGTGTATATTTAAGTACAGTATATACTCGAGTATAAGTCTAGTTTTTCAGCACATTTTTTGTGCTTAAAAACCCCCACTCGACTTATACTCGAGTCACTGTCTGTATTATGGCAACTTAGAGAGCCGCGGCCGTCAGAGCCGTGACAACAATCCGCGCGGCAACCAGACCGCGAGACTTACAGTGGAGCTGACCGGAACGGAGGAGAAGGGAGCTGACAGGAGCTGCAAGAAAGGTAAGTAAATGCTTCCTGCCGGCCCCCCACTTCACAGCCCATGCCACTGGACCACCAGGGATTAAGATAGCCCCCTTCCCTGACCTGTTAACAAGCAGGGAGGGGAGACAAAAAAAATTTAAAATAATAAAAATGCCCTCCCCCCATTCGGTTCACACACACTACACAAACACACACTCTGGATTATATACACAGAGTGTGTGTATATATAATGCAGAGTGTGTGTTTGTATGAGTGTGTGTGTATATAATTATAAAAATCACAGAATTTCATAGCCCCATGTTTTACCCTCGACTTATCCACGAGGCATAGCATATTTCACAATTGTTGGTCACAAAACTGCACTCGACTTATACATGAGATCGACTTATACACGAGTATATACGGTAATCTTTTAACATAATTGTGATTTGATTAATTAAAATTTGATTGACATGCCTGACAACACAGGGAGAAAGTGCAGAGAATTTAATTCGCAAGCACTATATTTGACCCTGTAACTCTCCAAGACACCATAAAACCTGTACATAGGGGTACTGTTTTACTCGGGAGACTTCGCTGAACTCAAATATTAGTGTTTCAAACTGGTAAATTGTATTACAACGATGATATTTTAAGTAAAAGTGAAGTTTTTTGCATTTTTTTACAAACGAACAGCACTTTTATGGACTATATTATTGTTGTAATATGTTTTACTGTTTTAAAACACTAATATTTGTGTTTAGTGAAGTCTCCCGAGAATAACAGTACCCCCATGTACAGGTTTTATGGTGTTTTGGAAAGTTAGAGAGTCACATATAAGGCTTGCATTTCATTTTTTTGACATTGAAATTTGCCAGATTGGTTATGTTGCCTTTGAGAGCGTATGGTAGCCCAGGAATGAGAATTACCCCCATGATGGCATACCATTTGCAAAAGTAGACAACCCAAGGTATTGCAAGTGGGGTATGTCCAATCTTTCTTAGTAGCCACTTAGTCACAAACACTGGCCAAATATTAGTTTTTTGCTTTTTTTCACACAAAAACAAATCTGAACACTAACTTTGGCCAGTGTTTGTGACTAAGTGGCTACTAAAAAAGACTAAACATACCCGACTTTCAATGTCTTGGGTTGTCTACTTTTTCAAATGGTATGCCATTTCAAATAATTTAATTTGAAAATGGAACGTTCTATATTTGACCCTGTAACTTTCCAAAACACCTTAAAACCTGTTAATGGGGGAGGTACTGTTGTACTCGTGAGACATCGCTGATTACAAATATGTGCATTTCCTTTGCAGTAAAACCTAACAGTATTATGACATTAACAGCTAAAATGTCAGACGGAAATACAGATTTAAAAAAAAAAAAATCTTCTCACATTTTTTTAAATTTTATTCATAATAAATTATGTTCCATATATGAATATTTAATGATAAATTAAAGCCCTGTTTCTCCTGAACAAAATGATATATAAGAAGTGTGGGTGCACCTAATGTGACAGCGGTGAATTACGGATGAACAGACATATAGCGCAGATTCCAGTTTTTGTTTACATTTTGTTTTGATCAGAATGTGCATTATTGACTCCGTCCTGAAGGGGTTAAAATTCACTTTGAATTCTCATGTTAGTAAATATCCCTGTTGGTCTTCCAAGAAGAGACTTTGATTCCCTATAATTTTCCAGCAGGGGGCAGTAGAGCTCCACCTATCTTGCTGTCTTCACTCGCATGATCCCTGCTTTAATTTACTATATTTATATAGCTGTATAATACTTCCCAAATTGGGGCAAATCACACTGCTGGCTTTTTAGACTGTATTTCTAATAATCCTCTGCCAATTTCTTATTAACACTGTTATTGGATATAGTTCTATAGCTCTGGGTATATAGTCCGTGTGTGATAAAGTACACTGACAGTATTAAACCAGTATCAATCAACATATAAAATAATAGAATTGTGCATTTGTACACCATGAAATATAATGTTATGCTCCAAATAACCATGTATGATTATTCTCTGTTTCTTGCATACAGTTTCTTAAATTTCTCAGGATCCTTGGACATCCTGTTTGAAACATGCAGTGCCAGACAGAGCTGTTGGTGCCCTATAGCCATTTAAGTAATAATCTGACAATTTATTCTTTTACTGGTATATTAAAAAAAAAGTAATGAAAATTTATTCTCTGCTTTTTAGTGCTTTTGCTTTGAGGAGCAGCGGCTGAATCCCCACGAAGAAGTCGACATGCCTGTGTTTTTCTATATTGACCCAGAATTCGCAGAAGACCCCCGCATGGTGAAAGTGGACACAATAATGTTATCTTACACCTTTTTTGAAGCCAAAGAAGGTCAAAAATTGCCTTTACCTGGGTACAGCTGATCGGTGGACGAAGAATAAATCTTGTTGGTCTTTGTACCATAATATATTAACAGACAGTGACTTAACACGTCCTCTATAATAATTTATATGGAAAATTAAACTGCAGGTGTACAGAAGATGCCTTTTTTTTTTACAGAATGGTCTGACTAAATGTGTTATTACAGAGTAAATGTCTCATGACTACACTACATATATATAAAAAAAATCTGAATCAAGTAATTATTTTTGTAAATACTAGAGTATTTTTATTGATTTATCAGGAAATGTATCGCTGTGTTATTGTGATATATGGTGTGATTGGAAGTCACACTGCATTATACCTAGTACCGTGTGTAAGGGTTGCTGAGTGCTGGGGGGAGTGGCAGTGAGAACTCGCACAGAGAATGGGCATTTTACTGTCATGCTATCAGTAAATAAAGCAGTTTCTAATATACAGATTGGCATTTACTCATACCTTCTCCAGTAATATAGATTTATTAGGGTTATATGATTGTATAGAGCTGTAATTGTTGGATTCACATCTTTACAAAATCATCACTGATTTCTACTTTCTTCTGTTGCAGTCTGTGCAACTGCATGGTTCCAATTTGCCCATAATATTGGAATTCATAACATTGTAACTGATAGTAAATTTACTGCAATGTATGTCACATTCTTGGTTTGAGGCAGTATCTATTACTTCCTGGGCAGTGGCATAGGGGACTGATATCTAAACAGTTAATTGCAGTCTGTGGAGGACAGCGTTGGTCCATAATATTTAAAACCAAAAAAACAATTGACAGTATATTTAGGGTTTATTTACTGACCGTAACTTCTTAAAACTTGTTTGAAAGATGCATATTTTTCATGGGATATTCCCACCTCGAGCTATTGGAGAGAATAAGCTATCTCCAAGATTAGTAGCTCTCTGGGATTTTGGGTTAAACCCTGGGCTGATGGCACTTCTTGACGTTGAATTTCTGAGCTAGCACATGGAACTTTGAGGGAAGGCCATTTTTCAAATAGTGATATTAGGCTTGGGATTGCAATGTACTGGTTGTATTAATTTGCTTGGACCATGCCGTATGGTGCAGAGTGAGGGGGGAGGGGCCTTTTAGAGTGAATCCTCAGATACCCGTAGTTTGAGAAACTCTGCTCTGCATTATTTGTAATAAATAGTCTGTCACCCGTAGCCCAAGGTTAATGGAAATTTATTGAGGTAAAGGAATCTCACTGTATGGAGAACTACCATTAATTAGACATGTGAGATAAACTTGTGCAAATTAACATTTAATGCTAGTTAGATATTTAATCAGAAACCTGATTAATGCAAAAGGTTATTTTTGGAATTATTGCTATAGAAGCTGGTATCTGTTTTGCTGTAGGACGATTTATCAGATTTCCTTCATCTCCTGTGCTTTAAAAATGTATTTTATTATAGAAATCTATTCATAGTTTGATATTCAGCTTTATACTACGGAAGAAATTGGTAAAGAAATCTCAGACCAGCTGCTGTATCTGCTATATGCTTTGTTAATCCATATCTGAGCGTGTGTACGGCTGTGAATGCATCATGCCGATTCCCCCACCTCCTGTTCTGATTTCATACCCCCAGTGATGGAATGTGACATTCCATTCCTGAAATCTGGGATTCTCTTGTGACATTGATACATCACCATTGGCTGTCATTAAACATAATATTTATTGGATTTTGACCGCCAAGGCCCTTTATATTTTTTCAGGTTTGGTCTCCCGTAAGTAAAATATAATACAAATATAATACAAATCTAAAGTTTTTATTTTTTTAAATTAAAATTTATTTTATTAATGTAATAAAATCAATATAAATTATGTGCTTTTCAAGAGCACTTTGCGTTTCTAGAAATAATAAAACCGGTTACTTTTTTTTTTTTTTATATAAATATATACACACATTCAAGCACAATTTAAATGCACATTCAGTGACGTTTGAAATGGTTCCCATCAGTTTTTATTTAAAAAGAAAACCCATAGGAATGTGAAAGTGCTATTTGGAATGGAAAAATATTTGATTTACCACATTCTACAAAGGAAAGAATCTATTAGTGTCTATTGTGTTTTTGTTTTTTTTCATTAAAGACACAACGTACATAAACAATGGTAATGAAAACACTACCTGCACATCTAGCAAGTTACTCACTAAAATGTTACTTGCTGGGGAATTTGAAACCATAAAAGCCATATTGTAAATTTGTTAGTAATATGTGCTTTCAATTTAGATATTTGGCCTAAAATTTTAAATCCCATTCAATTGGCAGAAATATTACATGGGTATGAAATGTGTGGCCAATAGGAACATGTCCGATGCATGCTGGGTAAAATTTGACACGCAATGGAAAAGTCTGTAAATAGGTTATTAAATAAGAGTTAATTACTGAAGCTTTAAAAAATGACTAATGCAATATATAGACAGTATTTAGAGGGCTACTGCAATCAGCTCTGCAGAAGCCCAAAGCGGTTCAGCCACCGCCATTTGAGGCTTCGCCCTGGCGGAACTCAGGCAAGAGGGAAATTGTAGCGGAACGATTGCCCCATTACCGGGGAATAGCGCTATCGGCCTGTAGTGGTTATAGTGCTTGGAGTAACTCTAAGGCTGTGCGGGTTTTATATAAGAAGAGGCCAACTTTAAGAGAATAATAGCACATATAATATTTTCTGTGACACGTCAACAAAAGTTTTTATAGAAAAAAAAACATGTTTTCTTCTGGTTAAAGTCAAGTTAAAAATAGCTGACCAACAAAATAAACATCTCCAAAACCGCTCTGCATCCAGTTGGCCACTTTGATGTTACATCTGAATTCATACTTTAGTAAATAACCTTACTTATGGTTAAATCAGAATAAAGCTGATGTTCTGTTTGACCAATTAAACTTGATCTCCTTTCTTTGCACAGCTTGCTGATTCTGCTGTTTCTAAAATTCATAGACAAATTCATTTAATTCAACTTTTTTTTTTTAACACCTTTTTAAAAATGTAAACCTTTGTGCATAGATCAATGAAATTAAAAATCACTGGGGTTTTATAATAATGGAAAAATATCACAAATGCACATTTTAGTGATCACAAAAGTCGAATTATTTTCATGAGTTACACACACAAATATTTAACTTTTTGGTATATAACAACCACATGTCTATGGCCATTTGGTGATCACTAAAATGTGCATCTGTGATATTTTTACATTTTTATTTTTATCAAACTCAAGTAGTTTCTAATTTCATTGATTTATGCACAAGGTTTTACATTTTAAAAAGGTGTTAAAGTAAAAGAAAAAGGTACTTAAATGCCAACAAGGTTAGACAGGTGATGATGCATGGTGCTAAATTGTAGATTAGAGGTGAGACTGGAATCAGCTCTTTTCTTATGAACTTAAAGTTTTCGTTAGGCAACATCTGGTTTAGTGACGTATGTTAAAGGAGAGGGATTAAGTCGCATCATTTAATAAAGGTATGCCGTGCTAATGAAATAATATAAATTATCACACTATCTCAGGGGAATCGTGCAATAAATGTGGTATAAAAATGTTAAATATGAAAGTCAGCATGTTAATAAAGGTTGCGGGTAGGATTTAGGAAAGTGGAGCAATCTGAAACATGATCTAGAGTTCTAAAAGTGGGGCAATTGCTATGGAAACCAGAGGAATAAATAGAATCAGTGCCTTCATTCTATTGCTTATTGCTCCACCTTTCTTATCATGTCGCTGTGATAACTTCTCCTCTTATTTTATTTTTCATAGTTTTAATCATTGAAGGACCAAACTTCTGGAATAAAAGGGAATCATGACATGTCATGTGTCCTTAAGGGGTTAAAGGAATGCTAAAAACATATATTCCTGATCCTTTAGTGTTAAAGCCACCATCAGGCCCTGCTAAATATAGTAATATCTTTATTCCAGTCTGCTGGTGCTGGCTCTGCCACTGATCTGCCTGCTTGTGTTGTTCAAAGCCAATCACAATGCTTTACTATAAGACTGTCAAGGAGGCAGTTTAGGGACAGAGCCAGCACACGCCAAGCAGCCCTGGCCAATCAGCATCTCCTCCTAGAGATGCTTTAAAAAGTTCAGTGCCTCCATGCAGAGGGTGGCTACACTGAATGTCAGTCACACTGTGCAGCACTGCCCCAGGAAGAACCTCTAGCAGCCATCTGAGGAGTGGCCAGTGGAGGTATAACTAGGCTGTAATGTTAACACTGCATTTTCCCCGAAAATACAGTGTTTACTGTAATAAGCCTGCAGGGAATGATTCTACTTAGCAGAATAAAAACAATAAGCTGTAGTTGTTCTGGAGACTATAGTGTCCTTTTAAAAGATCGTTATAGGCACTCAGATCTCTTAACCTCCCTGCAGTGGTGGGCGTACAATGGAACTGTCGATTTTGTTCTGCAATGTAAAACGTTGCTGTTTTGTACATGCGGCAATTTTACATCTCAGGACTAAACACTTCTCTAGTGGCTGCCTTACTGACATCTAGTGGCTGGATTCAATACTTTGCCATGAGAAGTCCTTTATTATTGATGCTTCTCTTACCCAGAGCTTCTCTATGAGAAGCATTGAGTTAAGTGAGAAGAAGAGGAGGTGGGTGTGTCTAAATAGTGAGTAGAACCTCATAGTGTTAGGAATGCATGATTGGTGTTCTTTTCAGGATTTTTTTTATGGTGTAAAAAGTTACCAATATATTTTAGGCCTGTCTCTTACATTGATGTCAGCATCTAGGATAGCTGCCAAAGGCGTTCGATGAGAACTCCTATAAACCCTGGGTGAGCTGGTTCATTCCATGAATTGCAAGTCAAGAATAAAGCCCAGTATCCGGTATTTTCATTGTGTTACTGCCCGTATGAAATTGATTGCAGATGTGGGACCCATGGGCAATATATTATTTACAAGCCGGGACATCAGGTGATGCTTCTTTTACAGGTAAGTGTGAGAATGAATACAGTTAAAGGATACAGAAATGAGATTATTAATAAACAGTTTACAGTAAATGGGAGATTAGCTTAATTAGAGAGTCAGATAAACTGTTCCAGTTGGTATATCTCCTTTATGATGACCTGAGTTAAGTTACAATCCACTGTGAAGAGCATACTTTGTACACCTGAGGCTGTCTTCAGACCTCGCAGAGTCGTTTGTACCTCCTGGGAGCACAGAGCGCAGGTTCTGCAGTGTGGAGAGCCATCTTTTTAAGCTTGTGGTATTGAACATGTCATCCTTTGAGTTTCTTATTGCAGCAAAGGAACTATAACATTAAAAGGGAGAAACAATAACGTGCATTAATGTAAATATCCAAATAACTTTAGTAATAAAAGTGGCAGTGTTTCTGCAGAGAGAGTTCCTATGATCACGTTTTTCTACTTCAAACTTTGCCTACTTTTCACTTTCTGATTTTAAGTTTTGCTTTGTGAGCTGACATCTAGTGGTTTGTTTTTTGGAATTACAAAAATTAGATGTCAGGTCTAAGTCCTTAGAGAGGAATCAAATAGACTCCGTTATACAATGTATAACACATTGTCAACTCTTTTTTGAGATATTGATTTAAGGTGAATATGGTAACTGATTTATGGAAGAGATATGTAATATAATGATATAGTATAATATGTCATATTATAATAGAGCAGCTATTGTAGCCATAGCACAACTGCGGAGATTGTGTGATCATGTGAGATAGCAATCCAAAGATGTTAATGGCTCTGATATAATAAATTATTTTACCCGTTTTCTTTGGTCCCGAGTTCCACAGAGATGTATCAACCTCTTCATACACAACACTAAAACGAAGAACAGAATATGGATAATTAGTGAAATGGTTCACAAACACATCCCATTATTTACAGCGGGACCACGGAATGTGGCTACGGATTGTCTTTTTTTTTTCTTCTATATTTTATCTGAGAAATTGTTGCAGCTTTGTGTTAGAGTGCCCCTCACTGTAATAGGTGCCCTTATTACGAGACCCTGGCAGAATCATAGAATACAGAGATAATAAATTCATCTCAAAAGAACAATTACTTGGTTGAGATCTCAAAAACCAAACAAAAAAAATGGATGCTTCAAGGTAATGGGAATTTATACAACATATGTCTGTATTTTATAGCCAGAACCCCTTTTTTCCCTCTATACATTAGAAAGTATGCATTATAGTCACTTACTCTTTTTGGCTGTTTTCTACAAGAGGATCGAATTCTAGCAGCTCATAATAGTTTGTTGTTGAATTTTCCTTAGAATTTTCTGGGGGAAAAAAAAAAATATATAGTTTGATTTGGCATTCATTTTAATGTTGTGGTTATCCTCACAATAAAATTCACATATTTCCAGTTTTTTTATCGTTAGGCAAATTGTTTCGCAATATTATTTTCCCTACGCGATAGAAAGTGGGATCCTATCCCACATATATTTGAGCAGTTAAACAGAGAACTCCTCCAATGCCCAAATTTTTAAAAAAAATGTTGAGGCAAAGTTCTCCCTCAGCCTGATCATCTTTTGTCTTACATTGTTCTAAGCTGGCTAATGATACCCAGTGATGCTGCTGAAAGCACCTCCGACATCTAAAGGGTTCATCTTAAGTGTTTCAAAGTGAAATGTTGCACATACAGATTTCAGGCACCATAACCACTTCAAATCACTGATGTTATACCTCTCTGGTATCTGAAAGTTGGTTTACATTGATACTACGTCTATTATTTACTACTCTAAATGCCTGTTTGCAGCTGGTTATTAAGGTAAATATGCCTCAGGCGGTAAGTCTTTGCTTTACCTGGTTTGTGATCAGCCGCTGGATTCTGTGGCTGTTCCTTTGGTAGCGGTACAAGGGTGGGGGGCAATGTTGGGACCGTTGGGAGAAGTGGAGTTGAAAAGCTGACCTAAAAAAAGAGTTTCAGAAAGTGAAATATAGGAAAGTAGCATACAATGGGGGATTTTCAATAAGGAACATTTAAATAGTTCAGCAGTAATATATGTTGTTTTAAAATATCTAGTTTATCATCCAAACAGTGAATTGGAGTGTTGCAACCGTATGTTAATATTTGGGCAAATTTAGTCAAGTTAGAAGAACTCTATAAACTTTCCAAGGACTGGCTGAATTGGGGCAGTAACCAGGGACTGGCTGAATTGGGGCAGTAACCAGGGACTGGCTGAATTGAGGCAGTAACCAGGGACTGGCTGAATTTGGGCAGTAACCAAGGACTGGCTGAATTGGGGCAGTAACCAGGGACTGGCTGAATTTGGGCAGTAACCAAGGACTGGCTGAATTGGGGCAGTAACCAGGGTCTGGCTGAATTGGGGCAGTAACCAGGGACTGTCTGAATTGGCGCAGTAACCAAGGACTGGCTGAATTTGGGCAGTAACCAGGGACTGGCTGAATTGGGGCAGTAACCAAGGACTGGCTGAATTGGGGCACGGTGACAGTAAACGTCAGCTGGCTGTATTTGGGGCAGTAACTAGGAAGTAGCTAGCACCTCTTACCAATCCAATCTTCCTGTTGCTTGTGTGATAAATTAGTTAACTTGTGCCAATACTTTCTAATCTATGATAAATAAGTTCAGGTTCAGAAAAAAATGGAAGCCGAATGTGGTGTTCAGCCTTCCTCCCCCCATGATCCCATTTCTCCCAACCTCTCCCTCCCCGGCAGCTCCCTTACTCCCCCATTTTCTCACTCTGCTCTTCTTCAGAGGTAAAATAAGTCCCTCTCTAATGCCTCTCAATACTGCCGGTCCTGTTTAAATGGAAAGACTTACATTGTCATAGAGTTGTCTTGGAGGGGGATGCGGAATCATGCTCTGTACAGGGAACATAAACCTGGGGCAAAATATTGATTAGAAACAGCTTAATAACAGAAACATATTGATTGCATTGTTCACAAGACACATCTCTCTTCCTAAGCTACCACGCTTGACCACGGAAATGATGGAGGCATGTAAACTCTGCTCGGAGAAACAGAACAATTCTGGGAGAATTTCTAAAAGTGGGGCAATCAGCACGAACATTCTATTGGTTTCCATGGTAACTGCTTCACATTTAGCACATTGCCCCAAGCTTGCCATATTAGTCCTATCGGCAAAATAATGAAGTAATGCACTTTCTTGTCATATCTTTTTTTTATTGGACTAACAGAAATGTGTTTGTTTGTTTGTCAGGTTCCTTCCTTTAGGGAGCCAAAATTCAAGTCTATATTTTATTTATTATTTCAAAGTTATATGGTGAATTTCCAACATTTAGGAAAAAATATATCTTTTTGTTTGGGAAAATAACAAGTTAAATTGAAACTTTCTTAATGCAACGAACGTTTTGAAAGCGGTTTTCATTGGGTTTTTTCACTACCCAATGAGAGTTTTATAACTGTTCACATGCTACTCCTCTCCCCGCTGTATTTTACACAGACGTCACAATCTGACCCTCAGGAAAAAGAAATAGGAAAAAAACATTACACCAATTAACTTCCAGCCTTATACAAAAACTCGGAAATGTTCTACCTTGGTTACAAGTTAAGCAACAATTATAGTTTATGCACTCGTCCGAATATTAGACAGAAAGGCGGCCATTTTGTCTCTCTTCTAAGGCTATTTTTATTGAGATGTTTTGTTTAGAGATAGGATAATAATTAAATTATATCTGTTAAAATTATTTTTCAGAGACGCAATAAAAACCCAGTTTAGCTACCTCTGTCACCAATTCTCATTAGCCTTATTAAATGTTTTATAATGCAATACATACAGTATATAAAGAGAAAGAAAGTCGATACCTCAGATTTATTACTCCGTATAGCATATGTACTATAGTGACTGAGGGATTACATTCTCGATAACCTTTTTTTTTTTTTTATTAAGACTCTATAATTTTTGCAGGTTAGTAAATTCTTACAGCCATTTGTTGCCAACATTCTAATTTAGAATTTAACAGCCAAGTTAAGATCTCAATATGGCCACTTTTCTGAATATTGTCATTCACTCATTATAGACTCTGTCTCCACTTACGGTGTATTAGCCATTTCTCTTAATCCGGAGAGGTCCATCTGAGGATAGAGATGATTGCTGATTGGGTTGGAGACATTTTGTTGTGAAATGCTGACATCTGCAATCACAAACAACTCAATTCAATATAAATATATTATTTTTTATTAATTGAGCTTATAAAGTGTAAACAAGGACAATCTTTACTGTTTACACAATAATAATTTGTAGTACATTTTTATAACAAATAAATACATTTAATATACCATAATATACCATGTATCTGTATAATATAATTAACATGGAACAATAACTTGTCTATTACTCACCTGTTCTCCCATGCAGCACTGCTATCTACACTGCTGACATTATCAAAACTGATGATCTCAGCCAATCCAAGCATTGGGAGGCTAGTGCGTATGCACAGCAAAACGAATCTAATCTTATAGAAATAGCAGAGTTTCAGAGGAAGCTCCTCTCGTGACACCACTAGAGGCATTTAAGTCCTGCAATGTAAACATTGCTGTTCTGGCAAAATGACAGCGTTTAACATTAAAGGGTTACAAAGACAAGGGCATTGCACCCAGACCCCATCATTGAGATGACGAAAGTGGAAGTTCAGAGTGAGCATTTGGGAAGTCAAGGGAAATATTACAGATTAAATGGATTCACTTTGAAAATGTTGAAGTAAAAATGTCCTAGTTTATTATAGTCGATCTATAATCTTTCAGAATTGAATAGACGCTATCATTATAGCACCATCACTGCTAAGTGTCAAACTAGCGCTGGGTACAATGCTATGTCAAATGCTGTAAAGGTGCACTGTACTGTACCCCATAGTGTAGGACTGGGGTTTTAGTGAAGAATGACTTGTGATATACATAGAGAGCAGTGACTGCACTTGCCAACAGTTCCGAAGCTGATGGATTAGTCACAGTTCGGGGGTCCTCAGCATCACACTTCGTGAACACCAAAGAAAAGGACAGTGTGATTTTTAGGTATCCTGTGTAATATATATATATAAAACTGCTATTTTACTCTTTGTTTATAGGTGAGCAGCTAAGCACTCCAGGTTTTAAACAGATGTTAGACTAATTTTCTTATTAGACAAGGTGATAAGGTAAAACCTCAGATGAAAAAAATAAAGATTATTTTAATATGTTTTCCGTATGCACTTGAACCCTTAGTAAGCACTTACTTCACCCTAATCCCTCTTTAAGTGATTTTGTGATTGAAAGTAAATGCATAATCGAGGTCCAATTAGATGTAAAACCGGGTTGTTTTAGGTGTTTTTGTGCGAATCGCTGCTGACTGCATGTCCATTGTGTTCACTGTCTTGGCGGAGCGACATTAACTCCTTAATTTATAAACAGGCATTGTCTCCCGGATAGAGAAATGATTCTCGCTCTGCAGATCACTGGATCGATGATGTCCTATTAAACAGATTGATTCGCGTCGCCACCATCGGTGACACAATCAGTGGACATCTTAAAACCGCCATGACATTTCAGTCAGGTTCGGTGGCCTTTCTCTGCTCCGAAGACATTGATCTCAGCATAGAAATGCAAATCAATAGAATGTACTTGTGCTGGAGAGTGTTGCAGAGTGTTTACTGACAAAGCAGGAGGTTTATTTTAACTCCTGCAAGTCCAGGGCCTAGACATGAACCTTTTGTTATTGTTAAATGCCTCATATATCATTTCACAATCAGGGATTAATGTTTATTTAGCTTATTTAAGCATGCTGTCACACTGTATTTGGTTCATATTTAATTGCACATTATGAAACCACTTTAGTTGGGTTTTTATTTCTACATATGTTGTAGAGCAGTGTAAAGGCTCTGCAGGAAAAGAGCCAGAGTAAGGCTCTGCAGGACTGGAGTCATTTTAAAGGCTCTGCAAGGAGGAGTTAGTGTAAATTCTCTGCAGGAATGAACGAGTCAGTGAAAATGCTCTGCAGAGGGAAGCGCAGTGTTAAGGCTCTGCGGGAAAGAGTCAGTGTTACGACTCTGCAGAAGGAATGACCCGATGTAATGGCTCTGCAGGAAAGATGTAAACAATATTAAGGTTCTACAGAGGTAAGGAGGAAGAGAAATTATAACAAAACTGAATTGTCAGCACCGAATATTTCTGCCTGCTGGGTTTTTAGAATAGGGATAGGCCTTTTCATGACTCGGCACATACTCACTTTCTGGTGAGTCAGAACGTGTTGTTCTGCTTCAGGTCCGTCAGACACGCTCACTAGTTACAGTAGCGATTTGTAAAAATAGCTGGGTTACAAGTCTTTGCTCGCCCACTGAGGACAAAGAGAGTTGGATACAACAATCTTCCCATCCTCCAATTTTGTTGTGATTCTGCCCTTGAACTGTGTGATAAGACAGCTAAACATAAACAATTTTCTCAATGTTTACCTGGTACGAGTGCAGCGCCAGGCGCTAAAAGCGGCGTTGGGAGTTGATGACTGGCTGTGAGTGGGAGTCCAGGTACGCCGTTCACCGGCGCAGATAATGGAGCAAGATCGATGAGTTCGCTTGCTGGAGCTGAAGGGTTTCTGTCGACAGTCTGAAAACCCAAAAGAATATCAAGACCTCAAAATGATTAATAAAGGACAACGATCATCGAAGCTTCTTGTTTTTTTAAAAGTTTATTCCATTTAATGAAAAATTATATATAACGATTATTTTAAAGAAAATTTCACTTATTATCTGGCTGAGCAGCCATATTGGGTCAGAATTTCCAGCGGCAACAAGTTAGGCTGAGCAGCAGTTGGTCAGATAACAGGAGAGTCTGATGCAACATGGCTGCTCAGACAAAGTGATATTTTCTCTAAAAAAAATAATCAATATACATAATTAGAAAAAAATATTCATTTTCATTAGATGTACTAAATGTAAAAAAAATAAAATAAAAGTGAAAATCTGATGAGAGTTGTCCTTTCGTTTTACCCCTCTCCCATGTAGACTTGGTCTATCTTACATTCTGTCATCGTATTGTCCCAAACTATTAATCACGTGCTCTAAAACCCCCAGTTGTGGCAAAAGTCATCCCGACAAATAAGTTAGTGATAAATGAGTTAGCATTGGCTCAGTAAGATATGTGTCACCTTTTGTGTATATTTTCTTGATCAATAATATTGAATAAAGGAGTCAAACTGGTTCTTATCTTACATGAAAACTGTGAATGTTTACTTTTTGTCTCGTGGATATTAATTCGGAGATCAGGGTAAAATATTTATTGCATTGAAAGTGTTTTTCTCTTACCAGCGCAAGTTCAGCCGGCATGCTATAAATTGGCTCCTGGTTCGATCTATTCCGTGAAAACCTATAAAGCATACCCAATTATAATTCTTTCCACGAGTATTCAGCATATTACCGTTTTAATTAATCAAGCTCAGCTATGAAATAAAATGATTACATTTTTAGAAATAAAGATTTTAAACATAAAACTGTGCAGTTTCTGAGTAACTGTACATTCACTAAACTGAGAATTGTAGTCAATTGAAATTAGAACTGCAACGTTTAGAACAAAATAGATGATTTGGGAAATAATTTTAAAAAATGATATGGGCAAACTCAGCCATTAGCACAGTGATAGTAAAAGGATCTGCCTTTATGTTGCGTCAAGTAGCAACATCCTTTACTACCATGTTTTGTTATATAAAAAAAATTTTAAATTTTTTTTTCAGAATGTCTCACATTTTCAAAGTTTAAATAAGCTAAATAAGAGCTCTGCATTCTGATAATTATCAGACACATTATGGTAGTAGAAGTGCTAATCATTTTGTGATCCTTATTATGTTTAAACTAACACTACAGGAATACAAGCATTAGGAATACAAGTTTCTAACTCCTAGTAACTGCTACTAACGCTACAGACTCCTACTAACTGCTACTAAAACTACAGACTCCTACTAACTGCTACTAAAGCCATAGACTCCTACTAACTGCTACTAACGCTATAGACTCCTACTAACTGCTACTAACGCTACAGACTCCTACTAACTGCTACTAAAGCCATAGACTCGTACTAACTGCTACTAAAGCCATAAACTCCTACTAACTGCTACTAACGCTACAGACTCCTACTAACTGCTACTAAAACTACAGACTCCTACTAACTGCTACTAATGCTACAGACTCCTACTAACTGCTACTAAAGCCATAGACTCGTACTAACTGCTACTAAAGCCATAGACTCCTACTAACTGCTACTAATGCTATAGACTCCTACTAACTGCTACTAAAGCTACAGACTCCTAGTAACTGCTACTAAAGCCATAGACTCCTACTAACTGCTACTAATGCTATAGACTCCTACTAACTGCTACTAAAGCTATAGACTCGTACTAACTGCTACTAAAGCCATAGACTCCTACTAACTGCTACTAATGCTATAGACTCCTACTAACTGCAACTAACGCAACAGACTCCTAGTAACTGCTACTAAAGCTATAGACTCGTACTAACTGCTACTAAAACTATAGACTCCTACTAACTGCTACTAACGCAACAGACTCCTACTAACTGCTACTAAAGCCATAGACTCGTGCTAACTGCTACTAACGCTACAGACTCCTACTAACTGCTACTAAAGCCATAGACTTGTACTTACTGCTACTAAAGCTATAGACTCCTAGTAACTGCTACTAAAGCTATAGACTCCTACTAACTGCTACTAAAGCCATAGACTCGTGCTAACTGCTACTAACGCTACAGACTCCTACTAACTGCTACCAAAGCCATAGACTCGTACTAACTGCTACTAACGCAACAGACTCCTAGTAACTGCTACTAAAGCTATAGACTCCTACTAACTGCTAAAGCCATAGACTCCTACTAACTGCTACTAAAGCTACAGACTCCTACTAACTGCTACTAAAGCCATAGACTCCTACTAACTGCTACTAATGCTATAGACTCCTACTAACTGCTACTAAAGCTATAGACTCGTACTAACTGCTACTAAAGCTATAGACTCCTACTAACTGCTACTAAAGCCATAGACTTGTACTAACTGCTACTAAAGCTATAGACTCCTACTAACTGCTACTAAAGCCATAGACTCGTGCTAACTGCTACTAACGCTACAGACTCCTACTAACTGCTACTAAAGCCATAGACTCGTACTAACTGCTACTAACGCTACAGACTCCTACTAACTGCTACTAATGCTATAGACTCCTACTAACTGCTACTAAAGCCATAGACTCCTACTAACTGCTACTAATGCTATAGACTCCTACTAACTGCTACTAAAGCTATAGACTCGTACTAACTGCTACTAAAGCTATAGACTCCTACTAACTGCTACTAAAGCTATAGACTCCTACTAACTGCTACTAAAGCCATAGACTCGTGCTAACTGCTACTAACGCTACAGACTCCTACTAACTGCTACTAAAGCCATAGACTCGTACTAACTGCTACTAACGCTACAGACTCCTACTAACTGCTACTAATGCTATAGACTCCTACTAACTGCTACTAAAGCTATAGACTCCTACTAACTGCTACTAAAGCTATAGACTCGTACTAACTGCAACTAATGCTATAGACTCCTACTAACTGCTACTAAAGCTATAGACTCCTACCAACTGCTTAGGTTTCCGCCCCACCCACCTTGAAGGGACAGTCTACTGACAATTTTTTTTTTTTTAAATCACTGTTTGGTAAATAAACTTCTGCTGAAAACTTGCACACATTAAATTCTGCATTCTCAATGGGGAAGCTCTGGGAGACTAGTGCACATCCGTGGCAATCCCCACTCTGCACCAATCAAATGCTGCTCTAGAAGCAGTATATGATTTAGAACCACGTTTGACTCGTTTCTCAACGTGGAAGCACCGTCAGCGGCTGTAAGGAAGGCAGCTGATAGAGGGGTGTTAAGCCTTCAAGGGGGACATTGCAGCTTCTACAAAACGGCAGTGTCTTACATAGCAGAGTGAAACCCTCATAGCAGAGTCTGACATACTCCAAATTTCCATAGACATCAGCCCTTTTATATGAATTTGCAGAAACGCCTCCACAGAGCTAACAGAAGTGGCAGGTGGTGTGGGCTCATGCATGCCTTTTCTCACTGAGCTCTAATTCTCATTGGAAAGCTGTGATGGCATATTTCCACCTGGTTCCAGCACAGAGGCGTCTCAGTCTGTGCCTGTGAAAGAGGGGAAGGCATGCTAAGGCTGCAGACAGCAGGTCTGCAGCCTTTCCAAGCTTTTTTTTTTTTTTAATATATCACTAAAGAAAACATGAAGAAAAAAAATACATGCATGTTTCTTTGGCAGTATATCTACTTGATTGTTACAATAAATATATATATTATTTTGAATGGTGTGTTCCTTTTAACAACTTTATCTGAATGAAGCAGTTTTGGTGTATATATCATGTCCCTGCAGTCTCACTTCTCAATTCTCTGCCATTTAGGAGTTAAATCGCTTTGTTTGTGCATTCTTAGCCACACCTCCCTGCATGTGAGTTACACAGCCTTCCTAAACACTTCCTGTAAAGAGTCATCTAATATTTAAACTTTATTGCACAGTCTGTTTGATTTGGAACTTCTTATCTCCTGCTATGTTGATAGCTTGCTAGACCTTACAGGAGCCCTGTGTTTGTAATTAAAGTTAAATTGATTTTATTACCCCTACTTATACCCTTTGTGTCACTATACCACACTAGCATACAACCCCTCTGTTCCTGTGTCTGGTTACAATTACGTGTCTGTTTGTCCACCCATTGTACAGTGCTACGGAAATTGCTGGCGCTATATAAGTAATAAAATAATAATAATAATAATAATAATTTACAGAGCACAAGTTAAAAACTTTGGAAGTAATTTAACAACTAATTGAAAATTAAACATTTTTTTTAATGCAGGTTGTGTCAGTCACAGCTAGGGGAGGTGTGGTTGGGGCAGAATAAACAGGAACAAAAGTGATTTAACTCTTAAATTGCAGAGAATTGAACAGTGAGACTGTAGGGTCATAATCTACACATCAAAACTACGTTATTAAGCTAAAGTTGGTTTGATGCCTATAGTGTCCCTTTAACCTGACTGTTGGCTGACCTCATTTTGACTACAGCCATCTATTCAATTACACGGCAAGGAAGCCAAGCAACTTTTTATAGGGCTCAAAAGTGACAGTCAACAGAAAGATATATCCAAAGAATAAATACAATGTTTATTATATTATAATATATTATGTCCCTGAGTGAGATACTTTACAATCATATAATTATTATAAAAAAAAGACAAAACTGAGCTGTTTTAAAGAGCAATGAAAGTAACTGATATTTAAATAATTCATCATGACTGCACCTGTTATATCTCAAGAAAACATTATTCAAATCATCGTTCACTTGCACCATTTCCACAATCACTTCCTCGTTCTGAACACTTTCTAAAAGCGTTACAATTCTCCTCTGCATTTCTTTACATGTTTTTTGGAGTTCCTGGAAAACAAGAATAACAAATGAATAAATGAGATGACATCTCCGCAGTCTATCTCGGTATCACGGTACATAGAAAAACATACATACATAAGGTGGAGCTTCTTGTATAAACGTTCAGAAAATATCTGCAATAATATGAATACAGAACACAAATAGTGCAATATTGCTATAACAAAAGTAATCTATAGAAAGGCGTATATGGTGTCACTCACAAGCCAAGAGTCACAAACCACATATGACTCAGATGGTAAGCACTTGTGGACAATTTCAGGAAGCCCAATCCTTTCTTTTGCCCCCGATTCTGCTGGAAGCCCGGTTCCTTCGACTTCTTGAAATAGTGCTACTCATCCAGTGCTCCCAATATTAGATGTGTATATATAGGGTACCACAACCAAGGTCTCATAAATAGTATACCTTTATTGGTGATCCCTAATACATATATACTAAAAAAAATAATAAAATTGATATAAAATGAATATAAATACCAGGTACAAATGTCCAAATAAATGTCCAAAACGCGTTTCGCCCTTAAATGGGCTTCCTCAGTTGGTTAGTTATGTCTCTTCTCCTTTCTTGGCTATATATACACATCTAATATTGGGAGCACTGGATGACTAGCACTATTTCAAGAAGTCGAAGGAACCGGGCTTCCAGCAGAATCGGGGGCAAAAGAAAGGATTGGGCATCCTGAAATTGTCCACAAGCGCTTACCATCTGAGTCATATGTGGTTTGTGACTCTTGACTTGTGAGTGACACCATATACGCCTTTCTATAGATTACTTTTGGTATAGCAATATTGCACTATTTGTGTTCTGTATTCATATTATTGCAGATATTTTCTGAACGTTTATACAAGAAGCTCCACCTTATGTATGTATGTTTTTCTATGTATCTTGTAGAGGTGGTTTAGGGGATACCACTCAAGGTGTTTAAAGCTTCACTTGATACTCCATATTGTGCACCTATCTATTGATTTTTATCTCGGTATCACAGCTCCCAAAATTCCAAATGGACAAAGATTGGGGGATGTGGCCAGGGGAGGTGCTTTTATCATGTATGTAAATAAAATTTTATTTAGAAAAAGAACAATATATTTAATTTCCACAGACTGATTTCTAAACATTTATTGTAGTTTAAAGACCCATTTATGGGAGTATTATTACTGTGGAACTCTGTTACAAACTCCAACAAAAAAAGAGGAACAGAGGGGTTAGGGCCCAAAATAAGGACTATCCCTGCTAAGTAGGGACACTTGGGACCAGGCCCGGAGTTGTCATTAGGCAAACCAATGGCCAGGATCTCCCCCGTCGACCCATGCAAGGCCGGCGATATCTTAGTGCCAGACCTCTTCTGTACCTTCATGAGCCCACTGCACTTTACCACAGGAAAGGAAAGGGGAACCCAGAAGGGGGTTGCCTGCACCCTGGACAGCTTGGCAGTTCGGAGACTTGTCGCGGATTACCATGGCAATGCTCCAACACAGTACAGTGCCAAAGAGAGGAGTGTTCTCAGCCTGAACCCAGAAAAACTGCAGGCTAGAGTTGCTCAATACCACAGGACCACCATGGTTTTTAATGTCACCACTCCATGGCCAAAGATTAGAAGAAGGTAATTTACTGCATGCTCACACACACACACACACACACACACACAAACACGTACACACACACACACTTTTCCACCGGACACATTCACTTATTGGACCCTTCACACACACACACTGTAACCCTACACACACACACACACACACACACACACACTGTAACCCTACACACACACACAAACACCAGATTCCTTATAGGCAGTACGTCCCCTATACACTCTGAATCCCTACACACTAGGTCCCCTATAGACCCACACTGCACCACCTACACACACATACACTCTACAACCCCTACACAGATTACAGCCCCTACACACACTTGCTACATCCTATATACACACAAAATGTCCCATATATGCATACTCTCGCAGTACAGCCCCTAGACACACATATTGCACCACAACACAACTGAACCTATCTACACAAAACACCAAACAGCTCACCCAAAATACACGCAATCCCACAAGTAGTCTCCAAACACATGCTCAGTACTCTTTCCTAGTCCTTATGGCCTCTAGTACCTTAGAGACAAGTCTCAAGCAAATGTAGCTTGTGCTGCACAGAACAAATACAGGGCCTTTTTCTAATGCTCTGCGCATGGGCTGCCCTGGAAGAGCACTGAACAAACATGCTCACTTTCAGGGTGTCTGTTCTTGTCATTGGTGATGACACAAAACACCCCGACTCTCTCGCTCCAACCCCTCTTATGGGCTGCTGTGATCAAAGAATGCCCGAGACAAATTGTTTTCCCAGTCCGACCCTGCCTGAGAGGCATGTGATATTGACCATATGCAGTTCTCCTCCAGTCCCTGGAACCTATCTAGCTTATTGACCAGTCTCCTTATCACTCTCATCATACCTCCAACAGGTCCATGTCCTCTTTGACCTCCTTCCCTGGTCTGATTTCAAGCAGGATCTCTGACATCACCTTTATGTTCATTCTCACCACGTCGAGCTCACTATATAATTTCCCAATCTGCACAAAACAACCACAAAAAAAAAATAGATAAATTAAAAAGACATGTTACTTTCAAATGGTACAGACACCAAAGGGAAAGTCACCAAAACATGTTACATAGGTTAATGCAATCTCCTGGCTGCCTTTTCCCTCATTAAAGGGTCATTGGATAATTGAAACATGGCCATGGATGATGTCTTTGAGAAGAAACTCTGCGCTGTACTGTATGTGTCTGATTGCATATAGGGAGGCAACAGTGAAGCTATCTGACACTTCCCACCAAACAAGGGCAACTATGATCAAATAGAGGATAGACAATTAAAAAATGGTAACTAAATCTGACACTATAGTTACCAAACCAACTTTAGCTTAATGAAGTGATTTTGGTGTATAGAGATTTTTTTTCTGCAGTCTCACTGCTCAATACTCTACTTAAGGAGTTAAATCACATGTGTTTCTGTTTATGCAGTCCTTGCCATGCCTCCTCTGGCTGTGACTGACACAGCCTGCATGGAAACAAATGGTTTCATTTTCAATCAGGTGTTAACGTACTTTAATAGTTTTTATCTCCTGCTCTGTAAATTGAACTTTAATCAAATACAAGAGGCCCCTGCAGGGTCTAGGGAGCTATTAACAGAGAAGGAGATAAGAAATTCTAGATTAAGTAGAATTTGCAATAAAGGAAGTGTAAACATTAGAGGATTCTTTACAGGAAGTGTTTAGGAAGTCTGTGCAAGCCACACGCAGGGATGTGTGTAGGACTGCACAAACAAAGTGATTTGACTCAGAAATTGCAAAGAATTAAGCAGTGAGACTGCAGGGGCATGCTCTACACACCAGCCTTTAGTTGTTTTTGTGACTACAGTGTCACTTTAAGTAAAAACCCAAACCACTGGTTTTGCATGCCACATCAGTTACATTTAACTGTAAATAAACAAAAATATTTTTTAAACGAATAGTCAGCTAATTGTTTTATGTAAATACACATAAAAGCTTTTAAGAAAATCCTAGTTGCAAATGTATTCACTCAGCAGTTAAACAGACTTTCAAAATATAGGCGAAAATAATCAAATGGGAAAAACGCCTCTTCTGGTCTAAAATTATTTGGAATAGCAACGTTGTACAATTCCATGAATATCCCGTCTACTCTAAAAACTTTAACAGAATGGGTAGGAAATGAATTGTGATTAGCATCACTGTAGTGATAACAGTTTTTTATCTACATGAACTAATAGTCTTCTTACGTTAATCCTATTCATTAACAAATGAACTCATTACAGTGCACTATATTAATTCAGATACTGCCATAAAATACCTGCTCGGGAGAGAGATGCGCTACGGTAGAAGAAGACTCTGGAGAAGCAGGGGAACATGACTTACTGCTTGGTCTCGTTTCCTGAAAAAGACATTGACAGTTAGATTGCAAGAAAGCCGCTGAGATTGCTTAGAGGGAACAGAACATCGAACCGTTACAGAAAGCTTGAATCTCTTACAAAGAGCAGGATGGGCATCACTGAGTCGTACGTGATGAAGTCCTGGTAGCAAGTCAGAGGCTCCAGTCCCTGGTACTAGGAGGACACAGCAATTAAGTTATAAAATTTCACCCCTGTGCTGTCCGGCTTATCACCGGAAGGAATATTCAACCGAATGTTCTCTCACATTGTAAAAAGCACCCAAATTACATTCAGGTTAATATTTATTGTTTTTACTCCATTTGAAGAAGCCATTGAGGCGAAACGCGTTATGGATGTTTATTGTTTGGATTTATATTTAATAAAGAATTTTTTTGGTTACATATAACAGTAAGGTATGGCAGGTGGGTCACGCAGGTCTCCGTCATATCAATAACATGAGCATTACGTTCGTGTGACATGCGTTATCATGAGGTTCTTGGGTATGGCTGGGGTAATGGAGCTAGTCTATCTCTCTGAGTGTTTTAGCCTGTGGGCTCAGCTTTTACATTTTATTTTATTTTTAACATACTATCTGGCATTCATATATTTTATCCTCTACTCCAAAGTATCTGAGGTGGGGATCATGCCACCAAAGCTGTTACCATAGAGCAGTGAGCCTGGTCTATCTTTGTGAGTATATTTTTATTACCTTTTTACTCCCATGTATTTTTTTGAGAGCACTATTGTTGCCTTTATATCTCCTTCTTATTTTTTACTTTCATTCCCAGTTGATGGTAGTTGGGGCAGATAGCTGAGACCCAGTTTGAGGGTATTTAAGGTCCAGCTTGAGGAAATTGGCCAGACAGCTGGTACCTCTCCCACTGATGTCATCCTACCATTCGTAATCTTCACGCTTGGTCTAAAAACAGTCACCGGTCCTGCAAACAATGGCTCCTGCCAAATGCTACTTCTATTTGCATTATCGTTTTATCGCTAAAAAAAATAATGCTGTTTGCTGGAGATTTACTATCAGCTTCAGTGCTGGGCCTCGTTCCAGGTTCTGTTTGTGAAGTAATAAAGGTAACTCACACCTAAAGTAATCATTGCAGCCAAGAAACATTAGCACTGGTGATTAAAGGCAGAGGATGTCCTGCCGTTTCAATTACAGAGAATAAGTAAGGGGTAAAAAATAAAGCTGGCATTACATGATGTACGAAGGAAGCTCAGTGTCCTCTGGAGCTCTGTGATACATCCATACACGGCGCACTTTGCTGTGGGTTTTGTTGCAGTGGAGCTCTGTGATACACTCATACACACTGCACATTGCTGTGAGTTTTATTGCAGTGGAGCTCTGTGATACACTCATACACACTGCACATTGCTGTGAGTTTTATTGCAGTGGAGCTCTGTGATACACTCATACACACTGCACATTGCTGTGAGTTTTATTGCAGTGGAGCTCTGTAATACACTCATACACACTGCACATTGCTGTGAGTTTTATTGCAGTGGAGCTCTGTGATACACATACACACTGCACATTGCTGTGAGTTTTATTGCAGTGGAGCTCTGTGATACACTCAGACACACTGCACATTGCTGTGAGTTTTATTGCAGTGGAGCTCTGTGATATATTTATATATGCTGTTCATTACTGTGAATATTACTAGAACTTTGGGACCAAAAGAGATACCTGGATGCAAATGTCACTTGGTGACAACAATGACAGGCTCAGGTATCATATAACTAAACCGACCTCCGACTGTTTGTCTCTTTTATTACATTTCTACTGCTTTGCCTGTGAGTTGAAAAACACCTTTTCTATTGGCTATTTTGATTTTACTAGTTAATTATCAATAATTAAATATTCCTACAAAAACTAAGATTTGCTTTTTATAACTTTTTATAATAGTTTCTAGAAAATTATACACAAATGAACACATTTTTACAAATTTGTGAATAAAATAAAACCGTATAGAATATCTAAAATTTCTTTTAACCTTTAGTAAGAAACAGCCCTTTTTTTTTTTTTACTGAGTACTGAGTGATTTCGACATTGGGAGTTCCAAACTGCAAGATTTAAATGGTTCTCAACAAGGCTTGAAACATCATTAGACACAATGTTATTGCACTATAAATCGTCAGCTACCTATAGGAATACTCAAGGGTTAATACTATTAGGAAAAATATATATTTTGGGGAAAAAAAAGAAGGCAATCAGTGATAAATAGGTTGCGGGGGAAAAAAAAGCACCTTTTCTATTTGCATAAAACATAAATGCCTATAAATTCCATCTTGATCTAATTTTCTCTTGAAGCTGATCCTATAAATATGGGTCTGGAGATGTGAAGGATTTAATCCTGGACTTATTGCTTAGCCCAGCACCATGTTATGGGGACAGTAAATGTGCCAACAATGGGGACTTTATTGCTTTGGTGCTGAGGGCCAGTAACGTTAATGAGTTCTCCGTCTGCCTCCTGTAAGACACGCGTTGATGGATCGTCTTACAGGGGACGCTGAATTTTATTAAATTACCTCTTTTCCCTAGCTCGTGTACCCCTGGCATAATACATTTAGGATAACTGGGCAAGGACTGACTGTCCGCCTGGGGGTATGGTGGTGGGGGCACCAATATTTCTTTAAAAATACTTTTATTTTTAGAGAAAAAAATATTCTCAAAACTCATTTTTGTTTTATTAATCCTGTGTTTGTCAGAGTGCTGAGTGATCTATTGCTTTGGCTTGTCCAATATTAAACATATACTTGTGAAGCTCTGTTAAAAAAAATAAAAAAATAAAAACAAAATCGGGCTTTATTCATCCATCCATCCAGCCATCCTTCCTTCATCCATTCCTCCATCCATCCGTCCTTCATTCATCTATCCATCCATCCATCCTTCCTTCCTTCATCCATCATTCCTGCATTCATTTATTCTTCCATCCTTTCTTCTTTCATTAATCAGCCATCCTTCCTTCATCCATTCATCCTTCCTTCATCCATCCATCCATCCATCCATCCTTCCTTCATCCATCCATCCATCCATCCATCCTTCCTTCATCCATCCTTTAACCATCCATCCATCATCCATCCTTTGTTCATCCATTCATCCATCCATCATCCATCCTTCCTTCAGCGATCCATCCTTCCTTCAGCCATCCATTTTTCCTTTATTCATCCATCCTTCCTTCCTTCATTCATCTGTTCTTGCATCCACCTACCCATCCACCCATCAATCCATCCATCCCATTTTTGTTCAGTGTTCATATACTTATCACATTCATATATTTAACAATTATACAGCAGATTAAAGCTTAAAATTAGATTAGTGCCTGAATGGTGGGGAATGTAAAGGAACCAAAAACAAAAAGTACCAAAACCAGAAGTACTAAAACCACCACACGGTGTGCGGGGAAGCAGGGAGAGGTGCCCGATGGACACCAGGTAAGAAGTCCTGCAAACTGCTTGACTATTTATATTCTGGGCACCAGAGCACTACTGGCACCATAACCACTACAGCATGCTGTAATAGTTATGGATTTTGGAGTGTTCCTTTAATCCAAAAAGTTTAACCAGATTACACAAAAAGTGGTAAACATGTCCCCAAAGTACTAACTATAATGTCACAAATACGAAAATGAGTCGTGAACACACTGATAAATCTTGTTATTTGTAACATTTTCCGTTGTAGTTTTAAGAACATCTCATTTTGATCTTGGTTAAATTGCCATTAATGGTTGGATGCTGAGACACAATACGTCAAAACCTTATCTTCAATAAATAGCGTGCGTTTACGGTAGACTTTACAAAAACACTTCTCTACTTAAAAACACTCACTTCTGACGGCAAGAATAGCTACTACAAAGGAAGCTAATTTCACTAAGCCTCTTAATGCGTGAAGCTTTGCAACAATATAAAGAAGGAAGGGATTTTTCTTTGTTGCCATTAAGAACAAGAAAATGGGCCGAGATTTATGCATTTGTTTTTTGTTCTCTCTAACATTGATTTGAATTACCGAGTCCGAATAAGGATGACATTCATTGGAATACATTAGTAATTTCTGAGATAACGAGAAAACTCTATTCCAAACAACATTTACTTAAAAAAAAAAAAAAAAAAACTAAACTCATTTACATTTACAGAGAAAGTTGCAATCATGTATAAATATTGTGTTTGGAAATTTGAAGGGTCGTCAGGAGAAGATTGATGTAAAACATCAAGAGAAGACGATTCATCAGTCATCCAAACTCAGAGATAGATTCATTCTTTAGATTGAGGTGGAAATATTTTTATGGGTTATGTATGTATTAAAATGACCCAATAAGTGTAACAAATAATGCCTCATACCACGACTTGATCACTGATCTCAGCCTTGGGGCAGTAGTCTTGAGAGCCAGAACCCAGGCATTTTCTGAATCCGAGCCAGAGCTACCTTCTCTGGGGATAGACAAAGGAACTGCTGTCCAGCTGTCATAACTAGGATGTCCACTATCCTGCCTAGAACTTCAGGTTCCAGTCCACCTTCCTGGCCTGTTTCTTGTTGTCTCCAGTCCAACTCAGGTGGATTTGCAAAATTTAAGCCTATTTAAGTAAATTAGGCCCGCAGTAAGCTTCCACAAATTCACCTCTGCCGCTTGAGGGCCTTTATGCCCTACTTCCAGAATCCATTCTGATCAGTGTGACCGAGAAAACAGCCCACATCTATCTTAGAATGCCCAAGAATCCTTTAATGCTGCTCTGATTGCTTCTGTCAGAGCAATGTCCTCTGGGTCTTGAGGCTCTGACTTTGAAGACTACCAATGACCCTGACAAACAAATTTAGGTTAAATGTTCCCAACAATAAGAGAAGACAGGACAGTAGCATATTACCAGTCACTTAACACAGTGCCAAGAAGCAGATTGCAGATAGGCAGAGAGTAAACAGGAAACAAATGAGTACAGAAGGACCATGTAAAAAATAAGCAAGCCAAGGTCTCAGAGAATAGTGAGATCAATATCCGAGCCAAAGTCAAAAACCAGAAAACCAACTAGTATAATGCACTCTTGGATAACAGGAGACCATGGGAGGATAAGTACTACTTTGTGGTTTGATCTTAAATAATAATGTTGTAAATGTAAAAAAGTATCATTGGTTGTTGTCCGAGAAGTGGTGTTTGAGCATCGGCTGTTGACTGTTGGCGCAGTAATGACACAGTAGTTGTACTAGTCTGGCTATCATAAGACCTCACAGTGACAATATCCTCATCACAAATGTCAGAATGATGCACAGTGCCACTATGTGTAGTGCAAAAATGCAGATTTTGAGCAATAACAGTAACAAGTGGTTGTATTAATTAATTAATATCAGTGTGACGCCATTGGGCAGAGGCTGAGGGCCATGTTAATCTCATGGGGCTCGGAGAAAGCTGTGAAGGAGGCCTTGATGTCCTGGCTCTTCTCCCGGATGAGGAGGTCGAATGTCCTGACCTTCGCTGCTTCTCTCCACACCCAAGCCATCTTCACCAATGCCTGCACTAGAAAACTGGCACTGTGGGCACTTTGGAACACCTAAAGCATTTCTAGCAGAGGGTCTTTGGTTACTATGTGTTCCGCAGTAGTAACCATTTACAATCTTCTGGTTTCACGGCACAAAGAAAGCCAGAAGAGACTCAAAAGACTTGAAGAGACTGTTACTCAAGTTTTAGTTGAGTGAGAAGCCAGATGTTCCCTTTCTCCACTGGGCCGAAAAGTAAGGGGAGAGTCGAACATCCCTTATGTTATTTCCCTAGCTTGATGTATTATTGCTATACTGATATATGTGCTGCCATGACCACCACACATCCAGGGGGTCACTTTCTAACCATTTTAATTTCTCCATTGTCCATTCGCAGAAGTTCAAGTTATGTATCATCTCTTCTACATTCAAGCGACTTTACTTTTGGCTGATTATTTATCAGAGAATCTTTACTGCAGATGAGACAAAAGACACCGCACTGCACTTATTAAAGAAGAAGGAAAAAAGAAAAAAAGAAATCTATCTTAATGCTTTTACCAGCAGATATATTACATGCACTAAACTCTGCGGCTGGTCAGACAAGATAAACAGGATCTAATTACATCCGAGAACGCAGTCATAATTAACTGCTTCAATGAGCCATAATTAAAGAAACATTCTGATAACCTCTGGAAGTACGAAGACTGTAATATAATATAAAGTTTAACACGGTTACATAGTTTAACAGCTGAAAACATTTCCCACATCAGTATCACAGCCCTCAATGTTTACGGGAGAAGTTGTGTATTTTACGGACACGTTGTGTTTTTTTGTGTAGCATCTCAAGGTTGGAGGCATCCACAGCGCCAAGGGCATGACAACCCGAAACATTTCATTTAGTAGCTATGTTAAGGAAAATGGCGTATTACCGTGTCTCAATCTGTAGATTATGGACCCCTGGTGATCGGGTAATTGTAAATCGTCGAGATCTAAAATGTTTGTGTGTACGTGAAAGGGAGTTTATGGAGAAAGTCTTTTATTTTCTGGGGGGTTTTCTTCTGAGCTATATCATTTTTGATATTTCATTGAGATGTGTTCCAAGGGCAGATATCTTATAAAACTGGTCTCTCTTAAAAGCAACATTAAAACTTAATAAACCTATCACAGCCTCTACACATGAACACTCAAATCACAGTAAGGAATCCTCCTCTAAGTACCTCTAGCCCAAAGTACTCATGGTCCTTAGTGCCCCTTTCTCTAAGTAATTAGAATTTCCATCATGACATAATTACAACGTAATGGAGACTGAAGAAAAGACTTAAAACCACCGGTTGAGCATTTCAAACATCTGTTTGATCCAAAAGAAGGCAAAAAAAACAAACAAACAAACCAATTGTAGGTGCTAAATTTAGGTAATTTTAGCCTTATTGATAAAATAGCAGATTATTAGAATCTTTACAATTTCGCTAATTTGTCCCAACATTTGCTACAGCCTTGTATATTTAATAAGATTTGTTCAGTAGATAAACCCCGCAGCCATTATCAGGTTAATAATTTGGAACGTGTCAGGGTTTGCCCGTTCACTGACTGACAAGCCAATTGCATGTCATTTTTTTCCAACTACATTATATTTGATTCTTTAGATTTTTCATACTCAGCAGTGATCCCATTTACCTCCACTGTCTCCAGCGAAATCTCTGCATCGATCGGCAAAGGGGGAAACTGGATTCCTTTTTTAACCAAATCGAGATACAATTCTTTGACCTCAGTTGTATCCACGTTTGGTAGAGAACCAGATGACCATGACTTTTAAAAAGAAACAAAGACAATATGCAAAACATTTTAAGTAAGGTTGACTTAGTAAATCCACATAAATAATAATTACATTGGTAAATAATTATAAAAAAGCAATATACAAACATATATATTTTGTCATCCTTTTATACCTGTGTAGTCATTTCATAAACTGACAAGAACTCAGTGTCTAATGTAAGCCAACAGATGAAACTGATGACCATCTGCAAATATTTGACGACGTGATAAGTTTGGATAAAATTACAGATAATTGTCAAACAAATTGTTTTCAAATCGTTATACCTGTATTTTTACCTGTGGAATCTACAGGTGAGGTCAATTTGAATTAATTGACATTTTATTTGGACAAATCGCTTCAAAATTATTTTTGTGCAAGTCTACAAACAGTCTTATTGTGCGGTCAGTGCTTGAGGACAAACAAAATGGCACGCTGCATTTTTGGCATTTTAAAGCCATTTTTTGGTTTATTAACCTAGAGGAATCCAGTGCCAGTGATGACATCCACCCATAAGATAGTGGCATTCTCTCACTGTAGAGCATTGGTAGACATGCAGTGCACAGTACATTAGAGAGTGCAACATTTCCATTGAAACATTACTTGCAAAAATGCTAATTTACATATTTAATTAAAAATAAAAAGAAATTGCACTCATTAGGGCAGGGATGCCCAATAGGCAGATCCCCAGATATTGTAGAACTACAACTCCCATGATGCTTTGCATACTTTTGGAATGCCTTTAGAATGGCAAAGCATTATGGAAACTGTAGTTTTAAAACACCTGGGGATCTAGCTTTTGGGCACCCTGCACTAGGGTGTGCCAGGATATTTCTGGAACATCCCATGCGCACGTCTGTGGGAAGAGATTGGGAACAGCTAAATAATATTACCCCAATGTCCGCTGTCACTAACAGAGCAGATTGTCAGGGGACAGTATGGATCAATATTAGTAGAACCAGTCTCTCTGATGCCCTGCATTTAGAGCTCAGGAACAGGGGTATGCAGTTTGGAGAGATGCCCGACCCTTTTGGGGCCAAGTCACAGCTGCCCAGATAGCAGCTTTCATATATCATAGTATAGGCCATAACCAATGGTCAGTTATCGATCTGATTATAAAAAGACAGGGGCATCCACTATAGTGAGAATTCAAAGTGAATTTTAAATTTAAGATTGATATAGACAAACCGGAAACGTTCTTTAAGCCAGCTATGCCTCGTTTCAGCTACTTTGACTTTAAATGTGACGTTGACTTTGAAAACACTGATAATGTTTTGGTTATCTCTGTGTGCGCCTCTGAGAGCCCAGTTGTGCTGTGTTTAGTCATTTTACTCCTGTAGCAGATAATGCACTTACCTTAATGAATTGAAGGATCTTGTTTTGAAAGTTGACTGGAAGGTTATATTTTGGGTTTAGCAGTTTTACCAAAACATCCTTACAGAAATCCTTCTTCACTACCAGCGACTGGAAGGCAGGACCACAATTCTTCATACACATCTCTAGAAGCTTCAAAGTTAAAGATACAATATTAATTACTGCGTATTAAACTTGGAGATTTGGTTCTGTTGGAATTGAAATTTGGCCAAATTTGGGCCTATGGGGTGTTTAAAGGATCACTATAGGGTCAGGAACACAAACATGTATTCCTGACCCTATAGTGTTAAAACCACCATCTAGCCCCCCTGGGCCCCTCATGCCTCCATAAATATAGCAAAATCTTACTGTAGTCAAGCCTGAAGCTTTAACTCTGCACGCTGTTTGCCTAAAAAAAAACAAGCAGTCTGCTGACATCATCAGAAGTGGTAGCCTGATCCAATAACAGTGCTTCTCCATAGGATTGGCTGAGAGTGACAAGGAGGCAGATCAGGGGCAGAGCCAGCATGATTCAAACACAGCCCTGGCCAATTAGCATCTCCTCATAGAGATACATTGAATCAATTAATCTCTATGAGGAAAGTTCAGTGTCTGCATGCAGAGGGAGGAGACACTGAATGTTTGGATGCATTTTAGGCAGCACTGACCCAGGAAGGATCTCTAACAGCCATCTAAGGAGTGGCCAGTGAAGTTATCACTAGGCTGCAATGTAAACACTGCATTTTCTCTGAAAAGACAGTGTTTACAGCAAAAAGCCTGACGGTAATGATTCTACTCACCAGAACAAATTCAATAAGCTGTAGTTGTTCTGGTGACTATAGTGTCCCTTTAACTGAAATTCCTGATTCTGAATTTAACTTTACTCGAATTCTAAATCAACCAAATAGGACGATAGCCAAGCCTTTTCAGTTCATTCAAATTTTCAGCCACTGACATTTATCAACAACTTTGAATCACTAATTAACAGTTTGAGAGTTGTCTTTGTGTAAAATGGACATTATAGTCTCCGTATCTATTGCATCTTAGGACTCCCCCAATAATTTTTTTTTGAATCAGACTGAATTTTCGAACTGAACCAAAATTGTTTCCAAAATTGTTTCCAAAATTCTTCCGATCCCAAAAAATTTTGAAAATTCCCATGAATCAGTTTGAAAGTGCACAAGTCTACTATATATAGTTACATATAATATACACACTACCGGGAAGATGTATCAAGGTAAAACAAAGGTTTGTCAGTTCGATTCCAGCGTTAAAATGCTTTATTTTGTTTTTGGAATTATCACCTGATTACTGTGTTAATGTTTTATTGTTATATTGCACTGAAGGCATCTAGCCACAATATTTTAGAAAGGGGAATGCAAATACTTTTACACTTTGCTCTACGTATGCATTGATTTACCCATTGCATTTGGGGAACTAAAGAACTAAGCATTTTCCCTTATGTACTCTCTAATAAACCTGAAGGGAGGGCGAGGGAACGGGACTTAAAGATGGTGTCTAACCTGGATTGTTGTGCTCTAAATCTCCAGTTACATAAACTCTGCTTTTATTGTTTTACTTACGTATTTTTTTGCGATTATCAACTCACTGAGAGTTCTGATGAAGTCCACTGGGGACGAAACGCATAGGGCGCAACGTGGTGGTTTGAAAAATAATCAGACTTGGTGATGTTTATCGTGATATGCTGAGAATATTTTTAATTGAGTTAAGTGCAATAACATTCGATTTTTTTTTTTTATCTGGTATAGAAAGTTCACTTTCTTTTCTCACATTTTACTTAAAATGTTTGGGAAGTATCACGATCAATGCTGACTATCCATTGGGAGTATATTCCATCCAGATAATCTGAACTTTGCTTCAACACCTCTATTGCTTTGTGGTTTGTGAGTGCAATACATTGAGTCATTTTTCTGGAGTGATTGTCTCAACAGAGTTACTGTGTAGTTTTTTTAATTCTTTTATTGCAGGCTGGCTGTTACATTTTATGTCTGTTTATTTTATATAATGATAGTGAATTTTTCCCCAACTCACAGAAAGAGCGAGACGCACTTCTTTCTGGTTGTAGTTTCTATACAAACGTTTCTTGAATGCTTTGATGGCCTCTTTGGGTCTATTGGACACAAAACATGGACACGATCAATGCTGACTATCCATTGGGAGTATATTCCATCCAGATAATCTGAACTTTGCTTCAACACCTCTATTGCTTTGTGGTTTGTGAGTGCAATACATTGAGTCATTTTTCTGGAGTGATTGTCTCAACAGAGTTACTGTGTAGTTTTTTTAATTCTTTTATTGCAGGCTGGCTGTTACATTTTATGTCTGTTTATTTTATATAATGATAGTGAATTTTTCCCCAACTCACAGAAAGAGCGAGACGCACTTCTTTCTGGTTGTAGTTTCTATACAAACGTTTCTTGAATGCTTTGATGGCCTCTTTGGGTCTATTGGACACAAAACATGGACAGATATCAGTACAGTTACAGTCACTTCTGTGAAACATTCAAAAAGATAAATATTCACAATGCATCCTGATTCGGTTAACCCAGCACTATGACCCACTGGATACTATACTGAACAATATCCTGATAATATTCAGCCGACATACAGTACAACATAGACGTGAGGCAAAGCAAAGATTAACATGCATCAGTTTATAAGCATGTTTACTTATATTATGTAATTGAGTGTCATATTTCTACCTAATGCATAAAATTGCATGGGAATTGCAAACAGGGGCAATGGAGGGAGGGTGGAGGGCAACTCATTCAAAATACCGGTCATGGTTTATGGAAAATCCTGTATGTTCAATTAGCCTATAAATACATTTTTTTTTTTTTATTAAACAATAACGTGTGTTGAATTGAAATTTAAACCAAAGTAGCTTTTACGAAAACCCCCCCCCCAAAATAAACAAATAAATAAATATATATAAATCAAATGATACTTTACCAATAAAACCATTTTGCGGTTTGTTTTTTCAGTTATTCCCATTTACTGCTTATAAACCTAATATAATTTATATTTTAAAGTGACCCAGGGCTGGCCTACCTCATCCTGGTGGACTCAGTTAAAACTAAGATTAAATAACATAAACATACTTTGTACTGTAATTATCCAGATGTATCAATAACTATAATTATATGAAAAATCCTATCTTTAAATTAACTGACTGCCTAAAACAATGTTGCCCCTATGGCCTAATGAACTAATAAAGGGGTTCACAATGACACAATAGAAAACGATGAATTCAATTCTTACCCCTCCCCTGTAGTACTAACGGAATCACATATATTAAGAAATTGCCCCCAGTCTTCTGTGCGATTTGTTCCAGCGGTGTTGACATCTAAAAAAAATTTAAAAATGAAAAAAAAAAAACTTTCATAAACAGACAGACAAACAGGAAACAATTACAATACAACATTATATATATATATAAAAGGCATTGTACAATAATATACACTGATAGATGAGAGCACACAAGAAGATTTCAGATGAGAATACAAATTGGAAGTTGGAAGTTTCGAAGCATGGCTCAGAGCAACAATAAAGGCAGTTTATTGCACAGCTGTGATGCTTTATTGAACGTCCAGAAACACTAAAGTGAGAAGTCAAGGTGAGATGAAAGTAAATTTCAAATGTAAGCCTAGAGAATATTAGGAGAATGTTTCTAGTTTGGCTAGCCGTGCAAATACCCAACCTATAGGACCACGCAGAGAGCGCTGATGAAGATGCACTCACATTGTGCTGGTGAGGACAGGTTCCTGGTGTCCCTAAATGTGGGAAACCAGGGAATTTAATCCGAACAGCAAGGCAGGACCCCGAAATCGGGACTACCCTGAGAAAATTAGTACAATTGGGAGCTCTGAATTATTTTCAGTTTACATATTTTGGCCTCAGTTTGTAAATTTGCTTGGAATTCCTGAATAACCTTGACTTTGTGTTGTGGTGTTGCTGAAAAAGAATGTCCTTGCAATGGAATGTTGCGGAACTTAACACACCCTGGTCACAAAATATAGGACGGTAAAATGTTAGCTCGAAGCACTGTTTAACCTGATTTGCAGTTATTTGATGTTCCGCTAGCAAAAACGGAACGTCTGAACCTGAAATCACAAGATTCACCAACTTTCTGTGCTTTTCATTATAAAATATTCATGTGTCAAAACAATCTAGATACAACGTCCCTGTGATCCTATTTATCAAGACAGAAGTGGTCACATTAAAACTTTTTTTTTTTTAAAGATTAACTATTTGCCTTATTTCCTTGACTGTTTGTGAATATATGACTTCTTTTTTCAAATTGTTTAAATTATTTGAATACATTTAACATTTACTATTACATCACAAGCAACTTCTGAAAAGGCACAGGCATGGCATTTAATGCAAATTAATGCTAATTTGCTTCTTTCACCCATGATTCCTTATAGAAGCACAGACTGATAAATTACAATGAATGGGCTGTTTTAATGTTTGCCATTGTTTGCAGGTCCACGGCTCAGCTTCCAGCTCCTCAAAGTATAACTCATCAATATGCATGATAGAGAGCCTCTGGGAATATGAAGAGGCTGAAAAGTCGACATTTGCTGACCAGAAAAAAAAAAGTATATTTTGTAGACTTTTTTATGCTCAAAAACTCATTCCACCAAACACTTTATTAAAAAAAAACTGACATGATAAAAACAAGTTTCTGCAATTTTCTAAAATATTAAATTAAATGCCAGGTTGCAATGTTCTCCTTTCCCTGTGCCAATATTTTAATGGAGGGTACGTACTCTCCCCATTACCTCAGATAGGACCCACCGTACATGTCTGTCAATAATGCTAAGTGCAAAGTTAATAAAAGCCATATTTTTTTTTTATTTAATATTTTTTTTTTTATTGGTTATTCCATATAAACAAAACACAATATACCATTTTTGCCTTACTTTGCATAAATAGTACGTCATCAGGAAAAGCGTGTCAAAACATTTCACAAGAAAACAACGACAAAGCAATTTTAAACCCCACGCTCCTGATCTGTATACTCCTGAGGCAACAATACACAGACAAAACTTACTAAAGCATACCCAGACAAGACAAAACCAGACAAAATGGTCAAAATTTGTTTCCCGTATTTTCGTATTTTCCTGTATAAAAGCCATATTTTTATTTTCTCGAACGAAGAAACTTATGTAACTAGCCTGCTGAGCCAGGTTTAAAGAATATGCTAGGCTTCTAAATATTAATTTGCTTCGAGCAATAGGTCAGAATATGTTTAGCTTCAGCATTGGAAAATAAAAGGTATCACCAGGATTGACTGGCTCCAGCCACTTCCTGGATATCTCAAATGCAGTAAGTGACAAGTTTTTGTTGTGAAAATAATTTATCTCTATTGGTTTTTCTTTTTAGTGAATGCATTAAAAACTTTGCATTGATTCCTCCTGGAGTATCCCTTTAAATGATCCTCCATCATTACTTATGTATTAAAAGGCCTCTGATTAAACAGGAGGAAGACCTGCTAGACAGTTTGTAGAAAGAGATGTATAACAAACAGACATAAAATCTAATTTTACAGCCTTCCCATCTCTCCTGAAATACAAGACTGATTTACACTTTAGGTGATTATCTGTGAGCAAGTCTTAAAACGCTTGTAACAGTCCAAAGAGGCTGTGATTTATAGCTGGGATAATTCTGGTACAAGCTGCAATCTGCTGAATGGTGGGGTGCTGGAGGAGAAGGGATTCGGTGAATAAATCCGCTTCCAATTAGAGGAATAAGGTATATACCCCGTATTGAACATATTGAGAAAATAAATTACAGCTTATTAACCCTTTAGAACCAAGCACAAAGAAAAGAAACATCATGAGTCCAGAATGTGGGTGAAAACCCGAGCACTGGACGTGACATTCGTGACTGTTCCTGGAAACTCAGGACATTTAGCAGGGTTCGGGTCAATGCATCTGCCATTTTTTTAAAGCAGATTATGATTTATAGGAAATGGATGGTTGTATTTCAGACCTCGTGGCAGTACTTCCAGGGGACTGTTTGATCACCATAAGCACTACAACTTTTTGTATTGTTACAGCTCATTGCATTAGTACAGCTTATTGTATAATTACCGGTAGCTTATTGTACCTTCACAGCGCATTATTTTACTACAGCTTATTGTATTGCACAGCTTCTTGTATAATTACAGCTTCTTGTATCATTACAGCTCATTGTATTACTACAGCTTATTGTATCGCACAGCTTCTTGTATCATTACATATTTCACCGCTTATTGTTTTATTGCAGCTTATTGTATCATTACAATCCATTAAATTATTAAAGCTTATTGTATCATTACAGCTCATTGTATATAAGGCTGCCATCAGGGGGTACATCTGATATGCTTTTATGGAGCCCCGGTTGCCTGGGGGCCTGGGCCCCACATTCCCAGTGTGCACATATACTCCATCCAGTATCTATCACACCACCCAGTATATTCAACATACTACACTATGTTGGTGGCGCTCTGTTCTCTTTACATACCTCTATAGTACCCTCCATAAGACCAAGTATATATCCTACAGCAGGGATTATACCACCTACCGCATCAAATTGGAGCTAATTATCAGCTCCATACACTGTAAGTGCAATTCCTTTTGCTGTTTTTTTAACACGTTATCATCATTCTACATACTACACTATATCCTGCACTTTGTTCTTTCTTCGCATTACATACTGACCCGCACTGACCTGGACCTGCTCCCCTCCTTCTATACATTAACTATTTACTACCAGTAAGGAGAGACTGTTTTGGATTGTTCAAGCTGCCCACTTGACCATTTAACAAGTGCTAGAAACCTACCTCCTTGGGGTATTTTTGCACATATATAGCTATTATAATGATATATTTGTACCCCTACAGGCCCCCGACTGTCTGCATAGTGAAGAGTTGAAACTGCAAATGCAATCTTCAGAGTCGGAGAGAGGAGCTGCTGGAAGCTGAAGATAGGGGGTGCTGGGCCCCCTCTTTACTATATAGCATGCATTGGTTTCCTTTGAGAAGATGCACCGTACCCCCAATGATTTCACATAGCTACGACAGAGACACTTTAATTATAGGGGTGTGACTGGAGGTATGGTTAGGGAATATCGACCCATTGCACCACGTTGTAAGAACTGAATATGTGACTTAGAACAAGAACAAAGTGTCTTATTTACTCAGACTGGTTAAACACATTTATTGTAGTTTAAAGGACAATTCTAAGAACCATAAACGCAATATACATCATGTCTATAGTTGGACAAAACTAACATTGTAAAGCAGAACGTGAATCTCTGTATTAGTGATATCATAGCAGACAGTGAGAGCTGCAGGCTCCTGGAGATCCTAGGTAAGAGTCAAACTTACTCCTTATTATGGGATGGTGTTGGTAGACCGTTGGCACCATAAACACTACAACACTTAATGTGCCCCTTTAAAAGCACATTACTGTGAGTGTTATTGCTACAAAATGATGTTATCTAATCAGACACACTTACAATATGGAACTCCTAGAGAACAAGGATTCAGACCACAGTTAGGGACTTTCTATCCTAAACAGGGCCACTTGGCAGAGTTGGTGCACCATTGAGTATTATTGAACTGCTTAGCGGATTATTGGATTTATTTGTTGTTTCAATATTTACTTAAGATTTACAAACTACAAAGAATATGTTTAGCTTTTTATAAAGTGAACTTTGAGTCACTCTCTAACTTAGCAAGTGTCATATTATTCAATGCCATTATAATGTAGTTTCCTCTGCTATCGAGTGCAGTAATGGTCAGGGGAATTAGAGGTCACTTCGCACAGCGCTGCCCCCAGGTGGGATAGGTATATAAACCCTTAGTGTATGTAACACATTATATAGACTGATACCTTGCAGAAGTAGATACATGTTACAGACAGTAATTCCCTGCTATTTCTCCCCCAGCCATACAGGTAAATTAGAAAATGATTCTTACTGTTCACATTATTATCCTCATTTGTTAAATAGAAACTATTTGAAAAGTTATCTTAGAATCATAGAAATATAAATTGCACACGTCACTTAATTAGATTCAGTTTTAGCTAGCAGAAAGACCTTTTTGTAATTTAGAAAATATGTAGAGACTTGAAAAAGGTCTACAGGGGTCTCTGTTTGCATTAAGTAATTACTTTAAAAAAAAAAAAAAAACTAACAAATTAGAACATGGTACGAGTTGATATAAATAAGGTGTGCTTTTAAAAGGTTTAGCTTCTAATTTGAAATTTACTCTTTGGAGTCTTTTGGCAAGAGAAGACTGGCAAGGGGGAGGAGGGCAATTGGCCCCCAGAACACTAACAAATATGGATTGTGGGCTGTAGCCTCGTAGCACCATTTATTGCTGATTAAAAACAGTGGGATGTACATTGCTATGTCTATTTTTATTGAAGGAGTGAGGAAGCAGGCACAAGCTCTACAAGGCCGTTGGGGTAGATATTAGTTGTGAACGCAGTCTTGGTGCATTGAAGCTTTTATTCTGCAGCTTTTACGGGATGCTTTTGGGGTCCAGCAGCTGCTGAGAGAGGGGTCAATTGGAGCTGAATTTCTTGGCTGTCTCCAAAAAAACAAAAACCCAATAATAATATCTCTCTCTAACTGATCGGCTCTCTACACCTGTCAATACAAGATAGCCAAGAGATGGTTTGAGAATCTCATGACCTGGTTGTCATAGTGACTGGCAATTACACCACTCCAGGAGTATATTGCATTAATTATTAGAGGTTGCAATGAATTAGATTTTATGCTATCACTGTATTGTGAAAAGATATCTGATATTTTTACAATTAATATAAGCAGGTTTATTGATGCTAAGTTATCCTACAGGGTGTTAAACGTCCTTATACTTTTTGCATACTTCATTTCCCTCCGTGCAGATCTGCTTCATAGTTAAATCTAAGAACATGATTTCTGTGACTGTTGCCGGTGAGTTTGATCGAACAGTTTAGCTAATAAGTGGAAGATGAATGCACATTTTCATCAGTACCCTCTACTTCATAGGAGCCACCGGTGGCCTTTGGTGCCAAGTTAAAGGGACACTTAAAGGGAAACTGATTTCCTAGAATTTTTCATCTTACGTTTACTTATCTCTATAATTAACAATATAGATGTGAAAAATATAATCAAATGTAGAAATTCACACCTCTTATCTCCCTGTCAATCATTGTTATAAACTCTGTCCTTTGCACCTGGTAGTCGGCATAGAGACACTCTATGCACCATTCAACCAGTTATGGCACAACGAGGTTTCCTATCTAGACCCAGTGACTTGTAATTGTAATTTGGTTTTCTATGTGACAACCTGGTCAATGACCGCCGATATGCAAAGCAGCAACTACTTCTATCTATGAAAAACAATACGACTTCCATTATCTTGTTCAGTAGTTCCATTCATGTCATTTCATGAATGAAACTAGTACTAAACTGCAAATCCCATAAACACCTGCTCAGACATGCCCAGAGTTACTGGGTCTTACCCCTGTCATTTCAACACTGATCATGATAATTGTTTCTACTAATTCAGGTCCAGAGATAATTAAAGAACCAAGTGATACATTTCAGATTCATTTAGTGTTATTCTATGTTATATTTTATTGGTAATAAATACCCATCTCTATTTTGTTAGCGATGTAATGATCTAGAAATCGCAGAATGCACCTGGATTTATTTCCTTAAAACCACAAAGCAGAACAGGACTGGCCAGTTTCCTTACAACGGGCCCCATTATGAGCGTTAGGTATTGATTCAAGTTAAAAGGATAAGGAGTACTGCATTGTGCATCTATTGTGTGATTTATTGCTCCAGCGATGAAGAGTCAGATTAATGATTGGCATTGCTTTATGCATCTGGCAGCCTTACTATTCCTTTGTTCTGTTCCGTGCAATTCTCATTCTCCACCCTGGTTAGTAAATATCCAAGGGAATTACATTATAATACACTGACAGACTGAGATACAGAGCCCAGACAGGCCAGAAAATGCCACCGCATGCATTCAATGATAATAATCTTAATAAAAAAATAATAAATATATGTAGACAGATACATTTAAACTTTTTTGACATGAGGTATATCTACAGTTTTTTTTAAAGAGCCTATACTTTTCTAATTAAAGGAACACTATAGGGTCAGGAACACAAATGTATTCCTGATCCTATAGTGTTAGAACCACCATCTGCTCCCCTCCTCCCCTTACCCTCTAACTATAGCAACAGCTTACTTTTACTCCAGTCTGCTGGTGCTGGCTCTGTCCCTGAGCTTTCTGCTTGGCTGACATCGTCAGAAGTGGTGTTCTGAGCCAATCACACTGCTTTTACATAGGAAAGCATTGGATTGGCAGAGACTGTCAAGGAGACAGATCAGGGACAGAGCCAGCACAAGCCAAACAAAGCCCTGACCAATCAGCATCTCCTCATAGAATGCATCTCTCTGAGGAAAGTTCAGTGTCTGCATGCAGAGGGTAGAGACACTGAATGTCAGTCACACTGTGCAGCACTGCCCCAGGAAGCACCTCTAGCAGCCATCCGAAGGGTGGCCAGTGGAGGTATCCCTCTAGGCTGTAATGTAAACACTGCATTTGCTCTGAAAAGACAGTGTTTACAGCAAAAAGGCTGAAGGGAATGATTCTACTCACCAGAACAAATGCAATAAGCTGTAGTTGCTCCCACAAAAAAGAGACTGGTGAACCACCTTTTGGGAGACTACTTTGGATAGGACTTTGCACCCAATTTTTTTATTTTATTTTGTTGTTGAATTATTTTTAAATACAATAAATAGTTTTCCATTATTATCTATGTGGAGTTCGTCATCAAGCTGAAACCATCCACCAATTCCTATTTAAGGAATAAGAGGATATTGGATCTCACCTAAGATCCCGAGGCGTTACTCACAGGAGCCAAGTGTCTGTTTGTGAGTGTGACAGATCATCTCAATTCTTATTTATATTGGCAACATTTATTTGCACTATTTTTGTTTCTCTGTTATATTTTATAGAATATCAAGATATGTATGTATTTTTTTATACACTTATATACATAAGTGTACACTATACATGTATTTCTTTACACTTCCTATGCTTCACCCCATTGTGTATTATTTTTGGAATTGTGCAGAGCCTGTGCTAGCCCAGTCCAGCGTGGGTTTGTGTTTTTACTGGTGGCCTGTGATTTTAATATTCGGCTGGCCCAATGGGATGTTTCCCGGGGTTTGGGATTTGTGAATTTCAGGTATAAACAAAGGCCATTAATTTATACTTGCCCCTAGGCTAGGAGTAACCAGCTCTTTGGTGTCAAAAGAGAACAAATGATTGCTGGCAGGCTCTCAGCTGGCTATGTCTGATGCTGGGATTCTGGCAATCACGCAGCTCAACGCTGATGCAATAAGCCGCACCTCCTGCGTCTCCGGGTAAATAAATACCCCATTCACTGCACTTTACTTAACATTGAACTCAGGAATTGGAGATTTTAAAAGCAGGTTTCAGATTGCAGCCATGACTACAAATGACTAACACATCGTAATATATAAAAGAAGCCCTTACAATAGCGAATGTTGGACTGCAGCTCCCATGATGCTTTGCTGGTGGATGGGTGGCTGTGCAATGCAGGAGTTGCAGTCTCCCGAGACCTGCGAAGCGGTGGCTGTCTCCAGCCGACACAGAATGTTTCATATGATATTTAAAGATATTTAAAGGTCGTTAAACCCTTTCTGTTTACAGAGCGCTGTCTGTTTAAACATCTCTACTTCAGTCGCTGACGGTGGAGAAAAAAGGAGTTTATAGTGCAGGAAAAATGGCCTGCCCTTCTAGACACTCAGGGAGTGAAACGTGTGCCTTATTTACACAACTCATGTTTAGGTACATTGCTTTTTGTATAAACTGTTCCTGTTGTGAATTCCAAGCAGGTCTCTCGTCCTGCACGGCGAGCTCAGACACGGGAAATGTTTATTTTACAGTATAAATGCTTTCCACAGCATTCTCGAATGAGTCAGTGAACTGAATCAGTGCAGCCAGCGGACACACTTCTCATTACTGGGGAACAATACCGCAACAAGCTCGGACAACCGAGACAGGACACCCTCGAAAAATCCACTGCATGTGGAATACTGTCAGGGAACTGCCTGGAATTCACAGGCTAAAATACTCGATTTAGAAAGATTCTGCTTTCAGTTAGGATATTCTGGCCTTACATTTAAAATTGACTCTAAATTCACATTGCACTCACAGCATTTTTCTCTTTAGTAATAATGAGTGTATTTAAAGGGAATGTGCACTGGGTCGGCACTCTGCCTCCTCCGACGTCATCCGACAAGGGGGGACCTAATGTGCATGCGTGGCAAGTGCTGCGGTCGCATTAGGTCTTCCTCATAGAAAAGCATTGAGACAATGATTTCTTATGTGCATTTTACTGATGCTGGATGTCCTCATGCAGAGCGTGAGGACGCCCAGCTTCATTTAACTAAGTCAAACTCTGTTAGAACACAGGAAGTGCCTCTAGTGGCTGATAGATAGAGGCAGTCTTAGTCCTGCAATGATTTACATTGCAGAACTGAGGGGGACAGAGGCACTGCACCCAGGCCAATTCACTCAGATGAAGTGGTCTGGGTGCCGCCAGTGTCCCTTAGACTTGCCTAGATATTGACTCCATTCATTTTATATAGTTAAACAGGACTCTAGGATTACAAGCAAGTGCATGATGTAAAGGCAGATTTAAATATTTTGAAATACTCAACTTTACACTTGTTGATATATTTTAATACGTGATAACAATGTAACACAATGGTAAGACTGTATCACACATCCGCCACTCCCTCCATTCCATCCTCACCAGTCACACATGAACTGACAGAGGTCTTTAGTACCTTTTTAGAGACTCTCTCGCTCACAGAACGTGTCAGATTCAGGTAGACGTGCAATCCGTACTGCTAAATCATTGCCAAACGTGCAGGTTAAGATATATCTACCTAGGAATTGCTATTCACTTGTGGTCACCTACCTGCCCTTTCACTTACAAGGAACACATCTCACAATCCCTGTACAATTTCTTTCTAAATCTAGAATTCGGTACTTTGGCAGGGGAAGAATTCTTCCATTGATTGAATGTATTTTCATGACATTTCCTTAAATCATAGTCAGAGTTCCGAGATCATCAGGCAAATGTAAACTTCAGGTGAAATAGGTAAGCTGATGTCATAGGTGATTAAAAAACAAAAATTTAGTATTTCCTGGTGAATTCTCCAAAACCTGGACTAGAAAGATATCCCCTGCTTGTGGTGGTTGTGTTTCATACAAGATGACTATTCTTAGACTGCTCTGGGTTCATTTTCCAGCCGTGATTCTAAATCAGTAATGCACTGATAGTTACTGTACGTCAGGGAATAAATCACCGTATATGTTATAAGAAGTATGAGAGCTCCACTATATTGAGAAATGAAACTTCTCTCAATCTGTTCCCGTATCATAAAACTGGCTTTCCATTCTGTTGTGTGACATTTATTGAGTGGATCAAATCAGCAGTTGTCATAACGTTTACACCCAAATGGTTTGCCCGTGCTTCCTTCTAACACAGACAAAATGAAAGTGATGGGGTCTATCGCGAGTCAGAGAGCAGGGACCTCTTTTCCGGTGATGCCTTGTTATGTCGATAGAATGAAAGTTTTGGGGTACAAGGAATGGATCCAATGTCAGGGAATGGAGATGCATTTTCCCATGATGCCTTGCTATATATGTAAATGTAAGTTGATTCTGTGGTACAGAGATGAATCCAGTGATCAGGAATGTAGCAATAAATGTCCAATATTCTGCATTATCTCCTTCACGCATTCACTTTGCCTCATTCTGCATTTACTAACATCAATAATGCACGCAGTGTGCACACAACAGGCTAACAAACATTCTTCTAGCACTTGTATCCCCGAAAACAAACATTTTCTGTTTTGACTAGCAATCATGGGAGACAGCGACAACATGCAGAATCTACTGTAGTTGCAGATCCAGTGCAGTTTGTTGAGGAAAATATTATGATTCTATATATATATCTGATTAATATGTGCTTGATTAAGTCTGCGTGTATGGGAGATCAGGAATTATCTGGAGTTTCTGTTTAGATAGTTGGAAAGATACAACACCTGAAAGGCACCGATTACATTTACATATCAACTGGTCTTCAAAGGAGTCTCTATCTAGGAAAACACACCTTGGGTTAGAGGAAAAGGGATGGCTGGGAGAATTCACACTTAAATAAAATAACAGGACAGACAACACTTTGGGCCTTGGGAGAGTAAATCATATTTACATATCCATTGAGCTGAGGAATTGGCTATTTACAACATGGGAACCAATTCCTTTAAAAATAGGTTGGTAAGACACACGCTGCACACATTTCACAGCACACACACAATGTAGCAGATATTATTATACAGAGGGAATGTGTGAGTGTTATGAATGTATTGTAACTGTAATACTATAACTCTGTAACATTCTTCTTCTGTAATATTTAAAGGATCACTATAGGGTCAGGAACACAAACATGTATTCCGGACCCTATAGTGTTAACACCACCATGCCTCCATAAATATAGCAAAATCTTACTGTAGTCAAGCCTGAAGCTGTAATGCTGCATGCTGTTAGACTCAGAAAAACAAGCAGTCTGCTGACATAATCAGAAGTGGTAGTCTGATCCAATCACAATGCTTCCCCATAGGATTGGCTGAGACTGACAAGGAGGCAGATCAGGGGTAGAGCCAGCATGATTCAAACACAGCCCTGGCCAATCAGCATCTCCTCATAGAGATGAATTGAATCAATGAATCTCTATGAGGAAAGTTCAGTGTCTGCATGCAGAGGGAGGAGATACTGAATGTTTGGATGCATTTTAGGCAGCAATGTCCCAGGAAGGATCTCTAACAGCCACCTGAGAAGTTATCACTAGGCTGAAAAGACAGTGTTCACAGCAAAAAGCCTGAAGGTAATGATTCTACTCACCAGAACAAATTCAATAAGCTGTAGTTGTTCTGGTGACTATTATGTCCCTTTAACTGGGCAGATTCTAAGTAAAGATTTCTCTCTGGTAAGAACTCTGGTGTTGGCTGTTTATTTGTAATATCGGGTAGAATACCTTAGTAGTGCTAGTCATATATTTATCTGGACAAGGGGATACAGGTATATGTTAGTTCTTGGAAGAGGTGACACAGGGATATTGCATTCACTATTAATACACAACGCAGAGTGGATTTCTCTCAGAAGGATACCAATTGGAGGTATTGGTGGTGAGAGAAGAATTATACAACACAGTTATGTGGAGAATCTGTGCACCTACATGCAGAATCACCGCTATTCACAGCTGGCCTCCCAAACTCTTCATGCAAAGTGATCTAAGAAAATCAGGCCCAGGGCTGCTTGTTAATACCAATGATGGAAAGTTTACCTTAAAGGGAACCTCCGGGCACAATAACAACTTCATTCGAACAAAGTGGTTATGGTGTCAGGAGTGTTTCGTTAAGCGGAATAATATGTGTATATGCCGTAAAATTGCCAGCAAATGTATCAATTTAAGATTCCGATAGTTTGCCATCTTGGCTGATGCAGTGGACCGTCTACGTATCTGCATACTCTCCCAAAATGCAGTTGTGCATGTAGCAGGTTACAACTGATGCATTGTGTGAAAGTGCAGATAGTACAAGCACCCCTCAATGCCCACATAGTTGGTATCATGTTGGTATAATTTAAGGACAGAGCACAGAATAAAGCTTCAATAATAATAATCTGTCTAATCATTATTTATATGGTGCCAGCTGTGACTGACAAATTAGTTTAACCCCTTAAGGACATATGACATGTGTGACATGTCATGATTCCATTTTATTCCAGAAGTTTGATCCTTAAGGGGTTAAAATGGGATAAAATACATTTCCGGCAGGCTTTAAAAAAAATCCCTCAAATTATATTTATCTAAAGGGACACTATAGTCACCCAGATCACTTCAGCTCATTCTAGTGGTCTAGGTGCAGTGTCCCAGTTCCCTCAACCCTGCAATTGTAAATATTGCAGTTATTGAGAAACTGCAATAATTAAACTGCAGGGCTAACTCCACCTCTACCAAACGGCCACTAATGGCGCTTCCGGGCTGTTAGGCGACTTTTGGCTGCCCTGGACATCGTCTCACTCGACATGAGGACACCCTGCATCACCCAAAACTTCATAGAAAAGCATTGAGTTAATGCTTTCCTCTGATGTTGTCCTAATGCGATCCCTGTGCTCGCCGCGGATGCACATTAGGTACGTAACGTCGGTCCAAATCAGGGAGGAGCGAAGGTGGAGCCTGACCCACTACCGAGGGACATCTGAGCTGGATTCAGGAAAGTGAATGAAGGGCTTTTAACCCTTTCTGCTCTGCGAAGGGGGAGGGAGGTGCGTAAGCGAAGGGGGCACTAATTTTGTATTCCTTGCCTATAGTTTCCCTTTAAAAAAAAGTTCAGTTATCATTTAATATGCCATTCACAAATCATGGGTTCGAACATACAAATAACATATACATAATGCTTGATCCTACATGTAATATAATTATAAAGTATATATATTATACATTATTATTATTATTATTATTATATTATTTATATAGCACCAGCAAGTTCCATAGCACTGTACAATGATATCAATATATTCTATTCGCCAGGGCTACATTTTCACTTGCCAAAGGCTAGTTACAAGTGGCAGTTTTGAGCCTTGCTATATTCTACACATGACCGTACGTAAAATATTTAATCCTATACAGAACACATAGTCCTTTCTGGAAGATATTCTGGGTCCTGTATGTAAAGGCTCACACTTTGTAGCAGTCCTTGTGATTCAGGAGAGATTGGATCTTTTACTCACCAATAAGATGCCCCACGTAGGTGCTGAAGGGATCTTTGGAAGGTTTGGTGAAAGCCATGAATGTACTAAATTAGATGTCTGTGTACACGAAGGGCTCAGCAGTTAATCCCCTGGGATTAGATCTCCCCCCAGATCCCAGCCCTGGCTCTCTCTGTAGTTTCCATGCAGTACAGTGAGCTGTGAGATTTACCTGCTCTGGGTGAGGGGGCGGGGAGAGATACATGGCTCTGCCCAGAGAGCAGGTACACAGGTACAGCTTGTGGACTCTGACTGTCACGTGAGTCTCATGCAATGCTTACAGTAACCCTGCAGGGAGGGAGGGTGTTTACTGCAAGATGATTGGAAATCAAGGCATGGCACAGGTGATATGAAGTGACACCACGCAAAGCAATGACACCGGGCCCTAAAGGGTCGTCATGGCTTAATTTTAATAAATTATTCTTTTACAGAGTTATTCACTAAACACCAGATTTTTTTCTGGATTGATATTTTTAGCCAACCAGACTGAATCTCCTCCAATCAGCCGGATATATTCAATGTCTGAGTTAAAATCATTACCTTTCTACACCAAGAATCAAATATAGAATATGTACAAAGCACAGAGTTTAAACATAATTAGGATGGACATTTACAAATTATAATTCACTTGATTTTAGGTATGTGAACGATGATTTAAAGTACTATTTGATCCCCCCCCCATGATTTTAGAGGCCTTATACCCAGCCGCTGACTGCTCACTGTTTAGTAGACTTGACCTCACTCGTAGACCTGCCCCCAGGGTTATTCAGGTGGGGGCATAAGGGATTTCTATTGACCCCCATAGGCAGGTGATTGTCTTGAAAGCTCTGACTTGCCTCCAATTGAATAACCCTGGCACCGAAGCTAGTGCAACCATCATGCAAATAGTGTGGATTGTTCAAATCTGAGCCCTGATTTTCAGCTGTTTGGCAGTTCGGTCTGAATGAAATCCCGACCAATTTCATGTTCATTCGAAGCATGCTTTGCAATATCCAGACATGGTTACATACTGTGAACAAGTTGCAGTCCATTCGGTACGGGGTCATTCGGACGTTAGTGAATAATCCTGTAGATCTACTCAGAACACATTAAAGTGGACGTACCACCTAAACAGCGTCTCGCAATGCTGGGAGCAAGTGTAGAGTAACCAAAAGGAATCCTGGGAAATATGCGTCTACTGGAGCCATAGCCACACCTGACACCAGGTTATTAGAAACACCCAGCCACTTAAGCCATAAAAAACCAAAAATACTTCCAACGAAAGGACAGAGTGTAGCTGATGTCTCCTAGAAATCCCAGCTTTTCGCGTAATTAATACTAACTGCACCCAGATTTTCAACCGGTTAAAGATCTCCAAGTGTATACTCGTCAAGGCCATAAAAAGAAGCCACACAATGCCTTTCTGCATAATTAAAGGTTTTACATGGTATTAACTGCACGAATGCACAAAGCATTGCTAGCGCAGAGCTTAACCCTTGGAGAGCAAATATCTATCTAACACGACTCAGACACCCAAGGGTTAAATTTGCAGATGAAAGTAATTTTTAAAGTTACAAAAAATGGCCTGATGTGGCTTTTTTTATGACAGCAACCTACATTTTGCGCATAGTAGAAATCTGGGGACCTGTTATTCAATTGAGGTTTAACATATATATTATAATATTATACTGTAACAATACATGTCTCCTGTCTGAGTAATGTGGAGTTAACTTACTGTTCTATAAGTGATTTCCCCTTTCTGGTCTGACATTTACTGTCCTGACCTGGTGTACATTCCAAAATACCTGCTTTGGCGTTTATAGTCACAACATTATTTGAAAGTTTTTTTATTTATTTTAACCTAAATTTTGCAATTTTTGCAATTCTATTGTCAGTTTGTTACAGTTCAGAATTTCCCTTTGACTGAAACACATGGGATTTTGGTAGTTTCCAGGGTGAAGTAAGGTCCCAATGGTTTCAGCCCCCACCTTTTTATACCCCCCACACCCCCACTTCCCTTTCCTCAACATCTCACAAATTTTGCTCCTTTTCCCTTTTATGTAAAAGTCGAGCTTTGAAACTCAACGAATGTTACGTTAAAGCTTGAACCTATTGATGGAGAAGGTTGTGCTACTAACATAAAGTACATATTTAAACCTGTTTTTGGTTTAGATCTGGGGCTTTGAAGCCATAATGTTTAACAAGCCATAATGGCACAGGGGTTCGTACCCAGGCACCTAAAATTTCAGTTTTTTAAAAATGTATCTGTAAACCATGCCGTTTATATTAAATACATGGTTTCTTGTCTCTTAGAAATGTAATTTCATAGGTTATCAGACATTATCAGACATTACGTTATTATTCACTAAACAATGGTCTATTGTGAGTTGACTATCAAATTACAAAACCAAAAAACAAATGTAAGTCTGAGCAATTGCACATTATAGAATTATTAAAAGCAACGATTTTGCTCAAACAAATGCGACTCTCAAGGTGATTCAGGCTGCGTTCATATGTGTCATTTATAGGGTTAAAATCATTTTGCCATTAATGTGTCAGTCTCAGAAGTGTGTTAGTGTAATAGGTTTACAAAACACACCGAGACCTGTCCCAGCACGTCAGTAACACACGCCCTGCTCTCAATATCCGGAACAGACTGGGCAACGAACCTTTATCATTGCTACAGAACAAGATCCTTTCAATCCACCTTAAGATTGTCTTGTTTACAGAAAGCGACTTTACACAAAATGTCATTTTCGTTTGTATTGCGGAGTTTTTGAAAAACATGAAGTCCGGTTTTAAAGAAAATATTTTCTTTTATAATGTAAATCTGCATTTTTCAGATAGCCGCAACTGTTCCAGAGAAACAAAATGAAAAGATAAACGTGATTGAAAACGCAAACACACAGCACATGAACAAGTGCAAATTTAGAACCAAAAGCAGTATTGATTAACGTGCTAACAGTTTCACACCTGCAACTCTAGCAAATGGGATTCATAGTCACTAGCCTCCATGTGGCCACTAACCTCCATATAGTCACTAGCCTCCATGTGGCCACTAACCTCCATATAGTCACTAGCCTACATGTGGCCACTAACCTCCATACAATCACTAGTCTCAGTGAAAGGATTATGGACTACCATATAGTCACTTACTTCCATATAGTCACTAGCCTCTATGTGGCCACTAACCTCCATATAGTCACTAGCCTCCATGTGGCCACTAACCTCCATACAATCACTAGTCTCAGTGAAAGGATTATGAACCACTGACAGCTCCACATAGTCACTTACCTCCATATAGCCACTTAACTTCATACAGTCACTAGCCTCCATGTGGCCACTAACCTCCATATAGTCACTAACCTCTTCGAAAGGATTATGGACTACTGACACCTCCATATTGCCACTTACCTTCATACAGCCACTTGCCTTCATACAATCAATAGCCTTTATAGTCACTTACCTCCATATAGCCACTTACCTTCATACAGAAACTAGCCTTCATATGACTATAAACCTCCATATAGTCACTAACCCCTGTGAAAGGATTATGGACTACCAACCCCTCCTATAGTCACTAGCCTTCATATGGAAAATAGACTCCATATAGTTCCTAGAATCAATTTAGCCAATAGCTTACATGTATCAAATGGACTCCATACAGAAATTAGGCTCATATAACTACTAGATTCCATACAGTGACTATCCTCTATATTGCCATATATCTATATATCCTTCATGTAGCCTCTGACCTTTATATAGAAAACAGCCTCCATACAGCCCGAATCTTCATATATCAAATTACCTGCCAATAGAAAATGACCCCTATATAACCACTAGCCTCTGTACAATCACGATCCTCTGTACAGCCATTACTCTCCATATAACCATTCTTTTGTAGAGAATATGCAAATATATAAACATTTTAATGATTCATCTGATCTGCAACTAGTTCCATGCCCCAAGGTAACTGTATATGGTGTCACAGAGTATGTCACATCCAGTCTCTGTGTATCTATTGTCTGCAGAATGTAAGGGACGCTCCCCACACCCTGGAACTGGTTTGGGTATCTTCCTATGTAGAAAGATCTTCCTGGTACGTTTTTACTTTGTAACATGTTCTGCTTGTGTTGCCTTTTAAATGATTTCATTTCTTTAAATGGAAACAGGAATCATGTGATTACTTACAACATTCCATTTCACAACAAATGATGTCATAAGCAGCGATCATGTCTTTTTTTTTTTTTTTTTTAGAAATCCATTCTATTGCAAATTGTATCTTTACTATTTTGGCCCGATATCAGGTTACCTGTGACAGGTATTTAGTGATTTGCTTTCAGCCTTTCAGGTGATGTAGAGATACAAAGGAACATTGTTACCTTGGAGGCGACAAAAATTGATTTTCCTATTTAGCTAGATATTTAGCCGAAGCTCTGTACTGGTGCAGTAAATGATTAATTTATCTCCCCTGTCACTCACCCACACAAAACCAATCCTATATATTTGGAAATGGCCCAACATATGTTCACAGGGCTTATCCTCATTTCCTTGATTGCTACCAAGACAGTAGCATCGGTGGACATTTATACAAATATGGGCAAAGTGGAGCAATCACTGTGGAGACCAAGGGAATCAGAATGCACATTAAATCGGTTTCGAGCCTCATTAATCATCCAATATTGGACTCAATAATTGTACCTACCTACTGTGTAAAGTGTTCACCAACTGCCATGTATGCAGTCACAGATCAGCTGTCAGTCAGAACATATGAAAGGGGGTAAGACCCTGAACGAAGCCTTCTTACCATGCAGGTATTAGATATGGACAGTAAAAGAGGTATATCCTCCTCTAACATAACCTATGTAAGGTCTTACGGTGTGCAAAATGTCCAGGGTTGTTGGTTGAAATTTTATTTGTCTTTTCAGACATAACGATTTACTTGAAAGAAAGAATTAAGGCAATATGCCACAAAAAGGATACATTGAGAGTAAAACAGAATAAAGGCAATATGCCACAAACAGGATATCTTGAAAGTAAATGAATAAAGTCTTTTATATACAAGTAGGTTTGACATTATTCCCAAATAGATTAGTAATCTGGGGAATGTCACACTGCAGCCAGGTTCAGGATGATACAGGGTTGAAAGGGCTAAAGCTGGTAAGTACTTTCAGTATAATGTAATACAGGTTGCTTACAGGATTATGCATGCAGTAGTTGTTGCAGTATAATGTAATACAGTTGACAGGATTATGCAGAGTTGC